AATGTGCCTGCTCTATTAGTGACTCCCTCAGGCAGGGGCTGGAAACCGGAACCCCGGCCCCACTGGATGCTAAAGCCTGGTTCTAAGTCAGGGATTAGCCCACGATGTCCCCGCCGTGTGTGTCCTGAGTCACTGTCGCTCAGTAGCGGAGCTGAGAAGTCGCGCCAGGACTAGCTCGTGGCCAGCTAAACTGCAAGACCTGTGGCCTGGCTCTCCTGGAAGCCGTTGGTCGGGCCTGGTCTGCAGCACTGGTGGGGGCAGAGGTCAGAGGTGACGTTCAAATTCACAATGAAAAAGAAGTGCTGGGGGGGAGGGAACCGGAATTCCTTCTTCCACCACAACACAGTCCTCCCACAAGCAGCCTGCACCAGGAGCTGGGAGCCACATGGTCAGCGGGTGACAGGAAAGCCTTCAGGGTGTCTGGGGGCTGACCATGGGGGGCCTGAAGCACCAGATCCCAACAAGGGAAAAACCAGTGTCCCCCGCAAAACTCCCCAAGCAGGGTTTTGAGAAGGTGGCCGACAGCGGTGAGGAGGGACAGTCTGGGAGGACACCRGAGCCGTCAGGTCTGGGCCGGTGCCGCCTCCTGTCTGTGGATGGAGCTGTCTCTTCCACACCCACTTGCTCTTCAAAGTGCACGGCTCTRACTGCGGTCTGTAATGTGACCTCCGAGGACGTGTCGGGGGCCTCCTCTGAGGACGTGGGGGGGGGCCTTCTGTGTATCTTTTATTACATAAAAGGCAAAGAAAGAGGCCAGGAGGGCAGAGGCAGGAGGAGGGGAGAGGCCCCGGGTAACTGGGTGGGAACCGGCGATGGAAATGGCCCAGGCGGAGCCAGGAGAGGCCTGCAGAGGCCTGGACAGGGGTGTGCTGATGGAGGACAGTGTCCAGGTGGGCAGTGGCTGAGCAGGAGCTGGTGAAAGGTGGCCCCCGTGACCGTGTAGTCCCCACAGGGAGAGGAGTGCAGGGGAGGAGCGGGGTCTGGCGGTGGGGGGCTGCTGTCTCCAGGGGGGAGGAGGGGCCACAGGAAAGGCCATTCCACTCCCACGGGCCGCGGTTCTCTTCTGTGGCCGCGTGTTGGAATCGCCCAGAGTGTTTACCGACCCCAGAGCGTGGGCCACGCCATCACCCCAGCTAGAYTGGAGCCCAGGGGGTCAGGAGGGGGCAAGGCTGAGTGTTCTGGAATCTCCCAAATGACAAAAGGTGGCCCAAGTCATGAGTTGCTGGCCCAGGCTGATGGAAACGAGGGTGGTGAAGCTCATGGCGGGTCCCCGAGCATCAGAGAGGGCCAAGTTCCAGACCACGAAGAGATAAAAGCAGGAAACATGGTTTCCTGGCCTTCTCCAGAGATTCCCAGGCAGTGGGTCTGCGGTGGGCGCCAACAGCCTGTGTTTAACAGGGCGTCTCACTAAGTTGTTTTTATCAGGAAACTTTGGCMAAACCTTCCTCCAAGGCTGCGCTGAGATGCAGACCTGTCGCCTCGGCACCATCTGAAGCATATAGGAACCGCTGAGCCCCAGTCTGCATTGGAGCCAGGTCCCTAGGTGGTCCTCGGACCCTTAGCATCTCACACGCACTGCTACAGGGTGTCTTCTAATTGGACAGGTTTCTAGAAAATTTAGTAGCAATTCCGGTCACTTGTTTTCCCTGTCATGTATGAAGACTGGGATGGTCAGAAACTGGTTTGTCACCGTTGCTCTGTCACTTACAAACCAGGGTCTGCTGCAGTGAGGAAGATTTGTTATATAACTACAATATAGAAACAAATAAGGTGGCACTCATCAAAATTGCAACGGTCCTGCCTTTTCGGGCTGATTTTGCTGTGAGTTTTAGAATTCGGGCTTCATGTGGAATCCTTCATGATTATTCATCCTGTTTAATAATTTACCTCCTTAGTACTAAGCCAGCCGTCGCTGGGATTTCTCCATCTCAGCACCTGCTCTTAATCTCCCTTAGAAAAGTCTCTTTCGTAGGTTCCCAGCAGTAAGAACAACAACAGGGCGTCCTTACCGTCTTCTCTTCCACCAGCCGCCTGATTTTGCCTTTCAGCTTCTCCTCTTGCGCCAGCTTCTCCTCGTTCAGCTTCTCCTTTTCTGCCTGATGCTCCTGCAGCTTTTCTTGCAGCAGAAACTGGTGGGTTTCCTGCGAGCTGCTGATCTTGATCTAAATTGAGAGAAGAAAGAGGAAGCTGAGGTTGTCAGGGGCTGGATGGAGGAGTCATTTCCACACTCACTTGCAAATCGTTTACCTTTCGGGGACAAAGATTTACACAAAAGTTTCTTAAAGACACAGACAAGGGGCTGGGGCTGGGGCTCAGCGGCAGAGCGCTCRCCTAGCACATGCGAGGCCCTGGGTTCGATCCTTAGCACCACATAAAAATAAATAAATAAAGATATTGTGTCCAACTAAAAAATAAAATATTAAAAAAACAACCCACAGACAAACCGCACTTAGCCTAGCTTCTGGTGGGGAAGCAGTAGACTATGAAGACCTTGGATCCTGGAACTAGATAAAATCCCAGCTCAAGTTGCTTCTGGAGGCTTCCCCATTTAGAAAATGAGATTAATCACGGTGTTCTGTGTCTTAGAATTGTGAGGATTAAATGAGATAATGATGGAAAGCTTTGTGGTGTTTGGTACATGGTAGGTGCTCAGTAAACGGCGGCTGGAATTCTTGGTCATATTTGCTGGGGGTGGGAGGAGAAGCAGTGATCTGGGAGTCAGAAGGCCCAAGCTTTGTCTTGGTTCTTTTGATGAAGTTGTTCTCATCAGGAAACTCTGAGGGGCACGTGAGCTCTGTGGTGACCAAATAGTAACCCACTTCTCTGGCCTTTGATGTCCATATCTGTGAAACCAGGAGAAGGGACTGGACGGGGTTGACGACTGCGGTGCACAGGCAGACCTGGTCCACTGTCTGCCTTTGTAAATAAAACTTTATTGCAGCGGCCACGCCCACCACGCCTGCTCATTTGCACGGCTTGTGGCCGCCTTTGTTCTACCACAGCAGAGTTGAGCCTGTGCCTGAGGCCACGTGACCTGCAGAGATTAAGACTGGCCAGGGGCCGTTACAGAGAAAGTCACTGACCCCTGGGCCAGGCCTCTGTGGTGGGTGGAAATGGCCGTCTGATCTGCAGCTTCCTTCGCTAAGTGACATGTCTTTGCCTGTGTCACTCCCAGTGCCTGTCCCCCGCCACATCCCGGGACACTGGACTCCAAAGGGATGTCAGCATATGTGGCAGAAGCAGAGGACAGGAAAGCATCGCGTGGTCTTTTCCGCTGTCTCTTGTACCTGCGCAGTTTTCGGGAGAAGATGCCCAGGCTCCCTCGCTGGGGGACGAGAGGCCAGCCTGGATCCTCCAAGACCAGCCAACACCAGGAGGCCTGAGCCAGCCCCCCAAGGCCAGCAGGGCCACCTGGCGGCTGACCTGGGCAGGTGAGCAGGCACTAGTAGTTGTTGAATGCCCCTAAAGTCATGTGGCTCTTTATTGCAGCGTTACTATGACATTAGCCATCAGCATTGCATGGTCAACCCCTAGGGGTCACTGGCCTCTCCAATCTTCCTTTTGGTAACTCTGCTGCCTGGACCGTGGTGGCTGGACTTCCCACACTGGGCTTTTTACACACACTTTTCAAGATACGATGGCATGGAGCGCTTGAGGTTTCCGACAGGGGAGACAAGCACCGTGGTTCGTGCAGGAGGCTGGCCAGGGCCCAGCTTCCTGTTTTTATCCTTGGCCCGTGGGAGACCCCGGGCACCCTGTCCCCTATCGAGGCTGGGGGCTGACTCGCCATAGAGAAGAAACAGATCTCCAACTCAGAGGAGCACACTCCCGTCCAGGAGCTGAACCAACTTGGAGAAAAAGAACTTGAAAGACTTACCTGCAGCTCCTGGGTCTGGCCCAYGATTTTTTTATAATGTTCCAGAAGATACTTCAGGTACAAAGAGAACCCTGAAAAACAGAAGGGGAGAAGGGGTCAGTTCAACTCCTTTGCTTTCTGAATCATGTCTTTCTAAAAAAATTTATTTTCTGATGACGTCTTGACGGAGCCCGTGGGCAGGTGGGTGCAGGTCCCTGGGCCTCCTGTGGAGAGGACAGAGCTGCCCCTGGACTTGCACTTTTACGATGATTGACGACGGACTTTGCTTGGGCTCCAATCTACGTTTCTTTTTGGAGGCGGGAAATAAAGACCGCTCAACAGAACACCTATGTTTCCACGTGTCCACTGAGTGCCAGGTGCGGAGGGAGGCCAGGTGCTCCAGGGCCTTAGGGTTCAACCTGAGAGTCAAGTTCTAATGCCTGGTGGGACCCTAGGTGGCTTGTTGGTGACAGTGAAGGACAGGAGGCATGCGAGGGTCTCTGGGGAGACAGGGATGGTTCGTGCAGAGTGATCGGAAAAGGTGACTTGGAGGAGGACCCACGGGGTGGGGGCATGGTGTAGGCAGAATTCAGAAGGGGAGGGGAGGGTGCTCTGGGCAGAGCCTGTGGCTGGCTGAATGACCCCCACCAACCTCCTGGTCCCTGGAGCCGTGGATGTGCCTCACACGGCAGAAGGGACTTGGCGAACGGGCCTGAGGAAGGATTTGGAGCTGGGGGTTCTCCTGGATTATCTGGCTGGAGCCAGCACCATCACACAGGCTCCTACGGGAAGGAAACGGGGAGATCCGATCACAGACGGACAGACAGAGGAGGCGACRTGGTGGAAACAGAGTCCGAGATGCTGTGCATGGTTGCATAGCAACAAGGTGGAGGAAGGGGCCACAGCCAATAAACGAAGCCCCCGGAGCTGAGGACGGCAGGAAAGCAGATTCTCCCCCACAGCCCCCGCAGGACCAGCCCTGCACACCCCTGACGTCAGYCCGGGGAGGCCGCGGGTGGACTTCRGCCTCCAGATCTGTAGGAGGAYACAGGCATGTTTTAAGCCACGAAGGTGGTGGTGGTGGTCACAGCAGATCGCAGACCGGCGCAGGGATGAGGCRGGACGGGAACGGGAACCGCAGTGCGTGGCTTGGGAGGTGCTGGCTTCCCTGGGCGGCGCTGGCCGAGCAGGAGCCAGGGTGGAGTCAGATGGAAGAGCGCGATCTGCCTGGGGCAGGCCTCGAGCAGTAGCCTAGAACCTGTGAACCTGACCTTCATCCCTGGACCGGGCCCAGGGCATCCTGCGGGCCGGGCCCTCCACGGCGCAGGAAGGAAGGCCTCGCCCACCGCCGTGTCCCTTTCATAGAGCGGCTCTGGGATGCGTGGCTGCCGGGGGCTGGGCCGGGCCTCGGGATCCACTTACAAMAATTTAAAATGCCTCCAGACATTCTGGGTGTCCCCCAGGTGACATTCTGGGTGTCCCCCGGGTGGGGAAGTCCCCTCCTCTGAGTTAGAGGCAGAGAGCTGAGCTGAGAGCCCACGGGAGGCCCAGGCCCAAGGCGACAGTGTTGTAGACGAGTTGGGGGAAGCAGCCCGAGAGGAAAGAATGAGAGAGAGAGAGAGAGAGAGAGAGAGAGAGAGAGAGATTGGCCAAGTCTGCTTAGACATGTTGGATTTGATGCATGGAGGGACTCCAAGGAGAGCTGGTCAGCCGGAGCTGGACGTGCCCGGCTGGAAAGGTGAGGCCTTTATGAAAACGTAGGAAAGAGCTCCCTCCCTCCTGGTGGACGTGGCCTGGGCCAGGGCCACCTGCTGCCTTGGCTGGATCCCCTTATGTGGGCCCCAACCTGCGCTCCCGCTCCAGCAGACAGGCCTGGGGACGCGTCCATTTGGACATCCTGGGCCAGGTGGGGCTGCTGGACACCTCAGTGGAGAGAGAAGGCAAGAGGGGCAGGACGGAGGCCGCCCTCGGGACACGCTCATGTTAGGGACAGTCGGTGGTGAAGGGGCTGCTGAGAGCTTGGGGAAAGACCAGGGGAGAGCCAGGGTGCTCCAGGACCCGGGCCCCAGGTGGGAGAGGGTTTTGAGGCAGAGAGTCGGGAGCACTGCCAGGCTGGAGGGAGCACGGCCTTGGGGAAGATGGCGGCCTCTTGACACAGCAGGATCCAGGTCTGGTACTTGGTGGGGCAAGGCCAAGAGCGGGCAGGGGCTTGGTCATGTGATCGAACGCACTTTTAGAAGAACTTGGAGGCTTGAGGGGAGAGGGCTGCGTCGGCCAGCGTGAGGCGGCGCCAGGGGAGGAGCTGTAAGGGACCCAGCTGGCGGGAGGAGAGGGGCCTAGCTGACCCTGGCCGGGGTTACTGCGATGCAGGGACCAAGGCCGCGTAAGCGAGCGTCTGGGCTTTTGCTCCTCTGCACCTGTGACCCAGGCCTCAAAGGGCAAGGCTCAGATCCTGGGTGAGATCCAAAGAGGACGGAGGGAGAAGGGAGAACAGGCTGTCGAAGGGGGAGAGGGCATGCTGGGTCACATTCTGGATTAGACGGTGAACTGTGAGCACAAGAGGAGTTTCCTCTTTGGGGGAAGAGCAAGTCTTTATTATATTTGTGATTAGGAAAGTTACATGTGTTCGTTACAAAAAATCCCAGTGTTCTGAGAAGTCCATAGTGTGGCTGCTGTGTTGTCAGAGTTGTGGCCAGGGGCCGGCACACAGTGGGCCCTCAGTGAGTAGTTGTGGAATGACTGAGTGAGCGTAAAGGTCCCACATTATCCTATCCTGCTGTGACTGTACTCTCAAGGGTTCTTTTTTTTTTTTCTCCAGATTTTTCTGTTGGTCAGACACTGACAAAAAAAAAAAAAAAAAAGGAACACAGAATGCATATTATATCGCAACTGGCCTTGTCTTCTCAGGAGAAGACACTGTGTATCTTGGATATGTGAGAATGGCGAGTTTTCCATGCATGAGGGGAAGCCTTTCATTTGTAACAAAGTCTTGCAGAAACAGACACAAACAACTGAAGCAACAGAGAAGAATGTAAAAGTCCTTTGATTCCCTTATCAAGGGGAGCCTGGGAAACCAGGCAGGAGGTGGGTGCAGCGAGTTTCAAGGTCCTGTGGTTGACTGCTATCTGCCCTCTGGACCACGCAGCCGGCCGCCCCACTCATACAGCAGCTGGTAGGTGAAGCCCCAAGGGCCTCTTCCCTGGGCCGGGCCTGACGTCACCCAGCAGAGCTTCCAGCAGCTTCCCCTCCCCATCTGGGCCACCCAAGTTCTAAAACGAGGATGATGGACCCCATCACTTCATAGAGTTGTTGTGAGGTTAACCGAGATAATTATGTAAAATGCTGAGGTTGGTGTCTAGAATAAGAGCTTGATGATGAGTGATGATCCCCATTGTCACCACCACCATCACCATCACCAACATGATCACCACCACCACCACCTTCACCATCACCATCACCACCACCATCACCACCATCACCACCATCACCACCATCACCACCACCAACATGATCAACATCACTACCATGATCACCATCACCATCACCATCACCACCATCACACCACCACCACCACGACCACCGTCACCATCACCAATATGATCACCACCACCACCACCACCACCATCACCACCATCACCACCATCACCACCACCACCACCACCACCACCATCATGATCAACATCACTACCATGATCACCATCACCATCACCACCACCAACATGATCACCATCACCACCATCACCATCACCACCACCACCTTCACCACTGATCACCATCACCACCATGATCACCGAGGTCATCACCACCACTGTCCCCTCCCGCTCCTCCTGGGATGGCTGTGGCCGGGAGCTGGGGTCAGTGGTGGAGAACATAGCGACGGCTCTGGCTTCCCCTAATATTGCTTGCACTGGGAGAGAAAATGCCTCTGCCACCAGCTTTCTCTTCCTTCCTTTCTCCTGACTTCTTAGAACTCAGCAGCCGCCATCACTGACTCTAGCCACTGGAGCACGGTTTCACCCSCAGGCGTCCCATGGAACATCATTGTAAGAAGTGCTAGTTGGGGATAAGGGCAGCAAGAAAGGACGCGTATTTGGGAACGCCACCTTCTTGGAGATGCGCAGGGCATGTTCACGGAGGAGCGTCTGCAGAGACCAGTTTATGCTGCTCAAAGCTTGTGACTCTATGAAGTCCGAAGAGAAAAAAGGCAGGTCTGAGCCTTGCTGGCTAAAACTGGTCTTTCTCAGCCTTTCTGGAATTGCTGGCCTGACAGTTTAACTTTACCACTACATTTAGTGACAGTGACGTATGGCTAGATTCATTGCCATGGCATCAGTGACTGAAATTGCTTGGAGTGGGAAGGGACAGTGCACAGCTAGGTTGGCCCCAGCCCCCCACTGCCACCAGGAGAGAGACAGGGCCCCTGTTGTGGTCCCAGCCTGGAAGAACAAGACTGCTGCACACGGCGTCACCTGTCCTCAGGTGAGCTCAACAGTCAGGTATGGTTAAGAGAACAGGAACCGTGACTGGTTGCTGCTGGGCTGTGGGGAGCACCCCAGTCCTTTGTCCTTCTGCCCTGGCCTTTGACACCCCCCCCCCTTTGTGCTACAATGAGGGCAGGCACTTATATAAAATAAATCTTATTTTTGCTTTTGCCTATTTTTTTTCCCCTCAAGAACTTTCCACCACCTTTGGGATGACTTTGAAGGCATCCCACTGGGGCCGCCGAGGCATCAGAGTGGAAGATCACTGCCGTCTCCTCACTCGTCACTGTGAGAATGTCAGATTCATGTGACCTCCTCGAGAGCAATTTTGCAATCTGAAACGTTGGGGTTCCTCAGGGTTGGCCCTGGGACGTCCCTTCCTGCTAAGCAGCACCTCCCACACCTGCGGCTTTATCCACCCACCCGTGCCCCACTCCTGCCCCATCCCTCCCCTGGACGTTTATCACCCTAGTGTGGCACATGCTCGTCTGCGTCTGGGCATAACCCCCGATGTCTACCTCCAGTGAGGCACCTTGTGACAGCGGACTCCTGGGCATGTCCTCGGATGCCTCACGCCACCTCGTGCTCATTGCCCCCGAGCCCTGGGCCCCTCAGCACCCCTAACTCTGGATCTTAGTGAGACAACCACATCTGTCCTTTCCTAAGTGCCAGAAACCTAGAAGCCACACAGACCTCTTTTTCTGTCACTTCCCCCTCCAGTCCCACCCTGTCCTGCCACGGAGGCCTCCTGATGGACCTCCTGAGGCCCCTGCGTCTTCTCCTTCTCCACATCCGCCCTGCCCACTGCAGCCACCGTCATCTTCGGCAGCCCCCGTCTGGGCTCCCGCTGCTCCGGACTGGCCTCCCTCCACTTGTGACCAAGATGATGCTCTCAACATGCAAAACTGTCCCATCACCTGTCCCAAAACCTCTCATCCTGCCCGCACAGCCCGTGCCCACCTTGCTCACCAGCCCCCGACCTTGGCTTCTTCACCCCCAGCACCATGCTGTCCGCCCACCCACAACGCTCTCCCTGCCCTCGACGGCACCGGGTCCTGCGCATCCTGCAGATGCCCCGCCCTCCTGGACCAGCTCAAGCCCTGCCCTTCTTCACAGCAATTGCAACCATTCACATTTTGTTTATTGGAGAGATTTGTCCACGGATGCCCATGCCCTCCCTCCCCCGGAGACTGAAAGCTGTAGGAGGGCAAGGATAGCCCCTGTTCCCCCCAATATTTTACGATCTATCATTTCAAACATTAAGTTGGAGGAGTTTTTCCATGAACAATCATGACCGTGACCAGCTCCTGCCCCMCCACCGTGCCTCTGCCGTGCTCAGGGCCTGGTTATGGTAAACAGGTAATGGACCTGTGGAGGGAAAGAGGTCCCTGCCCTTCCACCCCAGGAGGAGGGAGGGAAGATGAAGAGTCTGTGGAACAGCGTTCACCTGGGAACCATCGAGGAGCAGGAAGACTRGAAGCGACTTCCATGCTCCCACAGGGGACCGGCTGAATAAGAGTTGGCACTTCCCACTCAGGGGATTCCTTGCCACCACCAACTGTCACCGGGGAGAGGTCTGTGTGCGTCCACCCAACAGGGGTTTCCTTAACAATGCAACATTAGTAACAAGACTCAAGCAACATTTGGTGTCATAGGAAACTATTTTTCATAGAATTAAAAGAATAAATATGTAATGCCTGTTCTGTGCAGGAACCTAGTCTAAGCCCTTTACAGAGATCAGTTCGTTTCAGTCCTCACAATGACCCCAAGAGGTGGCGGCTCCCTACTATCCCCATTTTGCAGGTGAGGAAACTGGAGCGTGGAGAGGTTATGTAACTTTCCTGGAGTCACACAGCTACTACCAGGAGACACTGCTGTGCAAGTTACAAAATATCACAGGAGTTCCTACTGGGAGACAGGAGTCGGCATAACTTGGAATCCTCCCAGTTTCCTTTTGCCTCTGTCACGTTTCATTTCTGTGACAATCATGTCTCACTTGTGTATTTTTTTTTTTTTTAAGAAAAATCACTTCCTAAGCCAACTAAGTCTGGAGAAGGGAATATTCGGCCACATGCCTGCGAAGCCATCTCAACAGATGCCCCATCACGGCAGGATTCATCACGACATTTTCAGAATCCCGCAACTAAGGTGAGAAGAAGAAGAAAAACAAAATCCCAGGAACCTTTTTCGGAGCTGGGTAGCTGGATGCCGAGGTCCTTCAGCAGCTGCTCCGTCTCCTCCAGCCAGGACAGTGAGTGGCTCAAGATGTCCAGGGTCACCTTCTGGAGGCCCAGGACAGGTGGATTCATCTGAAGGTGCTGGAGAAGGTCCACCTCCCTTTTCAGGTCGCCGCTGCAGCAAGACATTTTCAAGCAAGCCTGGAAACAGACGAGAAGGTGTGGAGCTCAGACCCTGTGGCAGGGAACAGCACCTGGACCTTGCCCCAAGGGAGCCAGGGTGCCCTGGCCATCCTGAGTGGCCCCAGTTTTATTCAACTTCATTTCTTTTCTTTTTTTGCAAATTATATTTTTTTGCACCCTTTTGAGAGTCTAGGGAACAACCTTTTAGGTACGTGTGATTCCAAAGCCAAATTGCCTTAGACAATTTGGCTGAAAATAGAACCCCATTTGGCTTCTCCTATTTATCACGGTTCCTGCAGACATCAACACACAAGCTGGTCAGAAAGTGTGGCTTCCTGGTTTTTGAAGGAGTGCTGACAAGCAAGCATTCGCACCAACTCCACAAATAGCAGCTGCTGATTCGAAGAGAAGGCACAAGCAGCTGCCTGAGATAAGCTTGGTGGGGCCCTGGGGGCCTGGGCCTCTGTTCCCCGCTCCTCTGGGATCACAGGTGACCAGAGGAAGTAGCTTTCGCTGCCGAGCCAAACAAGTAAGTGCGAATAATGGGCAGAAACCTCTTTGGCTTCTTTGGAAATAACATGGGATTTCCCTCCTCTGCCCCAGGGCCTTCCTGAAGTCAGTATAGTTGTCCCTTGTCCCTTGGTATCATGGAGGATTGGTTCGAATTCCCCATTTCCACCTCCACCCCTGTAGAGCCCCCAATCTGAGGATGGTCAAGCCCCTTACATAAAGTGTGTGGTATTTGCATACAACTTCTGTGTATTCCTTAAGTCATTGCTAGATGGCTCGGCATACCTCGCATAATGTAAATGCCGTGTACACAGTTGCTAGCCTTTGTCGTTTAGGGTATACTGACAGTGCTCAGCTCAGAGGCACTTCCCCCTGAATATTCTAGCTCTGTGGTTGGCTGAACCCTGGAAGATGCTCGTGTTTTCTTCACCTGGAGGCATTTTTTGATGTCCCTGGTTTTCTGTTCTCCAAGAGGAGAAGAGGTGGGTACAGGGCATTGCTGTCCCCCCCTGTTCCAGAAAGCTGGACAGTTTCCCAAAAATGACACATACCAATTAGGCAAAGGGGGCCACGTGGAAAGCATGAGGGGCACCTGGCAGCTGTCCAGCGACGCCTTCAGCTTCTCCACGCTCTTCGCCAGCTCCTCCTGCTTGGAGTTGTTCAGCTGGGTCTCCTTCTGCAGGGTCCACTTTTTCTGCTGGAAGTTCATGTTGTCCTCGGTGACCTGAGTGATCTTCTCTATCAGCTGGTGAGAAAAAGAAAGATGTTGAATGCAGAGTGTCCTCAGGAGAGGGGACCAGAGGATGGCAGCTGGAGACCCCCAGCTCAGCGGGTGGGTCTTAGGGAGAGCACCCATTCTGTCCCTGGGGCTCCGGAGCAGAGGTCATTCCTAGGAGCCAAAGGCCTGCACCGTGGCTGCGAGTGTCCCAGATGCTTCTGCATTTGTCGCAGTGCCTCGGAACACGGAGCCTGAGGCTGTGGGAGCCAGCGGGTCGGGCTCTCCTGGGCCCCACAGGCGCGGCCCACGGTGTGTTTTCTTACCTGTGCAGTGACCCAGAGGACAGGAAAGGGTCCTGGAAGACGAGCAGGGCAGCCCACCCCCGGACCCCCTCCTCTGGGAGGAAGAAGCCAGGGCACGTAGACTAAGGGGAGGCCGCCCCTCTGTGTGTGTGTGGCTGAACTTGATTCTCATAAGAGCATTTCAGAGGAGTTTAACTGGCTTTTACTTTAAAAGCCAGGAAATCCCATAAAATCAAAACAAATCTTGATGGTGTAGCGACAGTGTGAAAAATATGTGCCACCAACAAAAACGGAAACATATGCTCCCAGGGCCTGGCGTCCCGATCCCCGAAGAGAGAGCGAAGGAGCCCCTGGCGACGGGCCACACTGACCTGCTGGTCGGTGATGGTCTTGTCCTGGCTTGGCTTCGCCCGCCCGTAGGTGGCCTTGATGATCTGGCTTCTGAACTGCTCCAGCTGGGGCACAAAGGGGGCGACAGGTCAGTGGGGCCTTAGGGGTGGAGGCAGGGCGGGGGTCCAGGGACACAGTCACTTGGGCGGGCCCGCACGCCTAGGGGGTTGTTCCGAGGTTTGGGACAGCGCACCAGAAGCGGCTGTCTGTACCCACAGAAGGAAGGAGAACAGCAGGTGTTAATTACTTTCTGGGCCTGCCTGCCCGACCCAAGCCAGGCACGTGGTCTGCGTGCACATGTGTCTTAAGCCCTAAAAGCGCCACTTGCTGCCAATTTATCCAATGGGAAGTCTGGGGCCGGGAGCGCTCTTCTGTAATTGCTAAGCTGGCACCAGACTGTGAAATAAATATTGAGACTGTCAGCCCAAGTAAATTGTGCAATCAGCAAGGGCGCCCGGGGAGAGGGGAGGCGCTCCCTTCTGCCATTTTGTGCTAACGCCATCGGYGCCCCGAGACTCTGTCTGTGGTGTTGATTGCTGAGTCCCTTGAGCCTGGTCCCCTGGCGTGGAGTGGGGACTCGGCAGGCGTTCGCTGGGCACTGGGACCCTGTAGAGGTCAGAGTCCTTGCTTCAGGCCCAGCCGCGGGTGCCCAGGGCCTCCTGCGAGCTGGTGTCTGCAGGCTGAGGGGGCTGGTGCCTCTGCCGACGCTCACAGCACCCAAGCCCCGGGCGCCCCGGAGGCCAGCAGGAGGCCGAGGCAGAGAAGCCGTGCGTCCTCTGGGAACTGACCTACATGGCAGCTCTTGGTCTGCGTTTTTGTCCCCTGGAAAAATGTGGTCATTAAAGACTCTAATGAGAGCCCTGGGGGGGGGCCCAGAGGCCACAGAATCAACTGAAAGGTCAACAGTCCCCAGGCCCAGGAGATGACAGCAGAGATCCCGGAAGCCAAGGAGTGAGACGGTCAAGGTCCCACGGACGCCCCAGGTCCTCCTGCCAGAAGCAGACCAGGGGACCTGAGGCATTCCAAGCTGTCCTCTGGTTGTATGACCAAGGGACGGTCCCCGCTCACCCAGGGAGCTGGTTATCAGGAGAAGCCCTGTGAGCAATGGTCCCGAGTGCCATTGGTGGGTGGGCTGACTACAGGAAGGACTGCCCAGGGCAGGGAGCAGAAGCTGCTCCTCCGTGGGCTTGGCCCTGAGGTCAGTGGGCTGCGGTGGGTAGACTGCAGACAGGGGCCAGGCCTCAGAGGTGAGAGCTGGAAGGCCCTGGGCTCACCCTTAGATCTCTGAGTCTGAGCTGGTGTTGGATGACCTCTGCCCAGAGCCATGATGAGACRTCGACGCCTGGCCAAGAGGCCTAGTCAGGCCCTGACGTCCGGCGTGCGTGGGGAGTGGGGGGGCAGGGAAAGTGAGGGGTTGCCCAGGGGCGCAGGCTGCCAGCCTTCAGGAGGGCCCAGGGCGGCCGAGGTGGGTGCGTGTGGAAGGGCTCTAGTATTTGCCCAGCGGTCAGCATCTCGGCCTGGTGTGTCCCTCTGAATGTCAGAGTGTGGAACCAAGCCCTGGGCACACTGCTGGGTGGAGACTGGATGTGGCCGTGGCAGGGCTGTGGGCGCTGGGGTGGGTGTGGAGGACCCTGGGGGACTGTGCTTCTCACCCTTTCCAGGCAGGTCACAGGCCTCTGGGAGTGTGACCAAGGACTGGAGGGCCCTCCGTCCCAGAAACAGAAAAACAGGCACGTATTGGGGTGTGGATGTGAATGTCACCTCTGGACACGTGAGGTGGGGCCTTGGGGCAGTGACTGGGCCAGGAGGTCTCACCTCCTCAGTGGGTCGGCTGGTGGGTGGCGCAGACTCAGGAGGAGGGACCTCCGTGGAGGAAGTGGGCCCCTGGGGTGTGCCCTAGGAGGGTGTATCTTCCCCCCTTCCTCCCTCTCTGCTTCCCGGCTGCCGCGGCTGACACGTTTCCTCCTTCACATCCTTCCGCCATGATGGCCGGCCTCACCTCAGGCCCAAAGCAGTGGAACTGGCCAACCATGAACTGAATCCTCTGAAACCATGAGCCCAATAAGTCTTTCTCCTTCTACGTCCTTTTGGCAGCACTTTGGTCACAATATTGGAAGACTAGCGCCACACACAGAATGTTCTGGGGGTTCCCTGGAACGCTTGACCTCGGGAGGGACCTCTGTTGAGAAGTGCGGAGGTCTCTGCCCCGGGTGGGTCAGATTCCGGGGGTCATGCCCTCTGGTCCCGGGTTCCAGTGTGCCCTCCCTGAGCCTTTGCTGAAGTCTCCTCTGGTGGTCTGGCCCTCCCGGCCATCCCGGGCCTGAGCACTGGAGAAATGGTGCCTCCCACCCAGCYGCGTCAGGCCTGCTCACCACCCTGTCCAGCACTGTCTCCATCTTGCATGGACTTTGGACGCTTGGGGTTTACTTTATTCAGAGAAGTGGCGTCTCCTTATGGACACTGAGAAACCTGCTGGGGACTGGTCCGGACTCGGGGTGAATGTCCTAGAGATACCCTGGGGCCAAGGGGCCTGGGCAGGTGTGGAGCCAGGACTGGCTGCTTGGCCTGAGTCTGGGGTCACTGCTAGAGAGGGGTCTTCCTTCAGGAGAGAGCTCTCCAGCAACAGCCACCCAGAGGAGCGGCCACAGAGGCCACTGGTCCCGAGGCCCACAGGAATCAGGCCACGCCATCTCCGCTCGCCCCTCCTGACCCTGGGTGCAGAGGACTGCTGGGAAGCRGGCCAGAGATGGGGGCGGTGGGGCACGCCTACCTGACCGACGGCCCTTTCCAAATTGACCTTAATCAGGCTCTCTCTGTTYCCCATTTCTTGCAGCTGAAGCAATTTCTTTCTGGAGTCCTCCTGAAGTTTCTCTTCCACCTGAAAGATGAGGAAAGCCTGTGTCTGGGGCTCACGTGGCTCTAATGCACCCGGGGGAGACTGCGCTAGGAGGTCTAATGGCCTGGGTCCCTCAGGGGCAGAGGGACAGCTGCGGCCCATGCAGGGGTCACCAGTGAGCACTCTCCCCTGGGACAAGGAGCAGGCTCTGTGCCTTGGGCTTCACTGTTTGTCCTACCCCAGACTCCGATCCATCACGGTCCCTGTGACCTCAGGAAAGCCACACCGCTGGTCCATGACTTAAGTGTCCCCACCTGTCCGAAGGGGACRGTGGTACAGAGCGCCTTGCGGGGTTACCGCTGGTTAAGGATCGTTAGAAAGCTCTGGCCCTTCGTAAGGGCTCGGCAAGTGTGTCAGGAGTGGTGTGCCTTGTAAGAGGGGGCTGGGGACATACCATGTGGCATCACGCTAACATCCTCAGTAACGGGCCCACGGGGGATTGGCCAATGCTACTGTTGGGTTTACTTGTAAGTATTCGCCGTGAACTTTTAGCACGTTCGCCCGTGGAGACGCTCTGGGGGGCTGGCTGAGCCCTGGCTGGTGGAGAATCGCAGCCCGCAGAGGAGGCACTTGGCTCTCGGCTCCCTTGAGCTGGAGGGGAGSCTGGGCGTGTTCGATGCTGCCCTCTGCTGGCCGTCAGGGGACCCTGCAGCCTCTCTGTTCAGTTTTGAATAGTGTCTGCTTTTTTGAGCACCCGCGGTGGCACAGGGCCCTGGCACTACTCAGAGAGGAGGCAAATGCTAAGTGAAAGGATTTGTGCTGAAGCAACTTTGCAAACCATCCATCAGGAAGCTGGAGGCGGGGACGGAGGCACCTGCCTGAGGGCGGGGGCCAGGGACGCCGTCCTGACTTCTGTGCCAGAGGCATCGAGGCCATGCCCGGCCTTGGAGGTGCTGTGGGCCCCTCATCTTAGCCCCAAACCCAGGGCCRTCCTCAGCTGCCACCCTGCTCCAGCTCTACCTCCCAGTGTCCCCAAGCCTGTCTGTRCTGTCCCCCATGTCACTAACAGAGCCACAGAACATCAGTGCATTCGGTCAGCAGAGATTTACTGTGTTCCTGTCCTTTACCCGGCCTCAGGCCAGGCACTGAGAACCTCCCTCCTGCAAGAAGTGGCTTCCCAGCCTCTGCATTTCCTTCCAGCATGTTCTTTTTTTTTTAGAATTTTTAAAAAAATATATATATATATTTCGGCGGACACAACATCTTTGTTGGTATGTGGTGCTGAGGATCTAACCTGGGCCGCACGCATGCCAGGCGAGCGCGCTACCGCCTGAGCCACATCCCCAACCCTCCAGCATGTTCTTCACTGTGCTGTGAGGGCCCACCAGGCTGGGAGCAGCCCTGTCTGGGAGGACTGTCTTCTAGGTGCAGGTGGCTGGGTCTGTGCCATCTGACTGTCTGGCCACTGAGCATGTGACATGTGTTTAGGGCATACTGGGGTTTAAATACCCTTCTTGATCAGAGGAGGTATTGCATTTAGAATTTTATTTAAAAATAAATGCAATTTTATTTACAAATAGGACTATGGAGGAATTGAATTATAAACTTCATTTAATTTCAGTCTCAATAGTTTACCACAGAAACTGGAGTCAGRCGGACCTGGCTCCTGGTCCTGCTCTGCCCCTGACTGACTGCGTGGCTTTGGGCCACTTCACTGTGGGTCATCTCATCCCTCGCTCCCTCATTCATACGACAGACAGATACTTCCTAGGTCACAGAGCTGGTGTGAGGATGAGAAGAGAGAAGTGTTTGGCATGGTGCCGAGGACATGGGACATCGGAGCTGTCATTTCCACCRTTATAATTAATCACAAATGTGATCACGTCAATCCTCGTTCAAAGGCCTTCAGAGGCTTTCCACTCCAGATGCCCAGCTCCAGAATGAGATTCTGGAGGCCAAAGACTCAAGAAACCCAGAGAATTCCAAATAAGGCAAATAAAACATGAATCCACACCTAGAAAAACTACACAAAACYGCTGTAAGTCGAAGGAAAAGAAATCTTAAAAACATCCCAAGATTACACAAAGGCATGAGTTTTAGGTTTATRAAAGCTCACTTCTATATAGGGACAATGGGAGCCAGGAGACAGGAGAATGATGCACCTGAAGAGAGCAACTGCCAACACAGACTCAAATCTCAGTCAAAATATCTTCCAAGGTTGGAGGGTAAAATAGATGTTTTCTCTTTCTGTCTCTCTCTCTCTCTCTCTCACACACACACACACACACACACACACATAAACACACACACACACACACAAACACACGCACATGCACTTGCAGATGCCTAAGAGAATTTGTCACCAGCAGAGCAGTACTGAAGGGAAACACTACAGGACACTCTTTAAGCAGAAGAAAAACTGTCCCACATGAGCCATCTGACATGTAGAGAAGGCACAGCTAATGCACAGATTTGAACATGGACTCTACAAAAACACTGACAATGTCTTTKGGGGTTTCAAATGTAGAGGGAAGTACAGAAAATGTTGACAGTGGATATGAATCTGCATGGTGTCACTGTCTAAGGCCACTATGTCATCAAGGAGGCAGATGCGTCAGGGAATACTGGGTTTGGCAAGTTGAAAGTGAACGCTGCGATTCTTAGAATAACCTCTAAAGAACAGTAAAGGAAGAAAACACTCAGTAAGTATCCAGATTTTGCTGGGGTATCTTACTGTTACTAAAAGAAGAGGGGAGGGATGAAAAATTTCTAAGTTCATGTAGGGGAAAAAATGAAATAATAAAACCCTATCAGCTCACAGGAGGCAAGAGTGGAGAGAAAAACATCAGAGTGTAAGTGGTACAACTGGCACTGAGCAAGACAATAAATTTAAATGCAATATACCACGCAATTACATTATATATAAATGCACTCACAGACGAAGATTGCCAAACTGGGTTTTGTAAAAAAAAAAACAAAAAACGATATGCTTTTAACAAGAGATATATCTAAATTTTAAGAATGATCGATTGAAAAAGTGAAAAGAAATATATATGAAACCCTAACAAAAAGAAATCCAGTGTAGCTGATGGAGCTATATTAATGACATAGTGAACTTTAATGGAAAAACACTACTAGAGAGAGATAAAGAGAGTCATCTCATGATGATCAAAAGGTTCATCAAACAGAAAGTATTAAAATGACAAATCCATATGCACCTAGTAATACAGACTCAAAATATAGAAAGCAAAAATTGACAGCATTAAAAAAATAAATAGACAAATCCACACTAATGATGTGATTTAAAATTATGCCACTCTCTCAATGACTAACAGACCTCTAGACAACAAAATCAATAAGAGAATTTCAGTTTTGAACATCATTGGTAACCTTGATTTAATAAACATATAGAATATAGAATACTGTACCCAATGAATGCAGAATGCACGTTTTTTCAAGGACATATGTACAACCAATATTGACCACATGAAGGTTATAAAGCAAGTCTTAATATGGAAAGTTTGAACTCACAGAGGATATTCTCTGACCATCATAATTAAGCTAGAAATCAAGAGCAAAAAGGTAATCATAAAAAAATCTTCATATGCTTAGAAATTAGGAAACAACCTCAAGATAACACAAGTCAAAGAAGATATCACAATGGGAATTGGAAAAGACTTTGATTTGAATAATAATAAAAAATGTTATATACTAAAACTTGTGGAATGCAGTCAAAGCCTTGCTTTGAGGAAAATTCATAGCTCAGAGAAAAGCCAGTGGTTTAATAGCTTTTCATATGTTTCTAATTTCTAAAATTCTTTTTGAAATTATTTTTGTCTGGATTTCTTCTTTTCTGGCTAAGTTCTACAAATATGATTTTATTCAGCAAAAAGTTTTTCTGATTCCTATCAAATTCTTACCAAGCATAGCTTTGCCCTTGTATATTTTATTCTATGGCCCTCATTTCTACCAAGTCTATATTTTCCCAAGATTATACTTTGCATATCTAAACTTTTTTGATAATATTTTGTTCTTTTCTCAATATTTAGTGAATATCAAACTTTACTCTGTGTTTTTCACTGTTGGTTTTATTCTGTGTTGTTTCTATTTACATGTAYTCAACTTTGCAAGTTTCAGGATCATTGAGATGAGATTTTCAGACTGCTTCCTGTCTAGTATGTATTCTAGCTTGTGAAATTTTAATGTTTTAGCATTAAAACTTTATGCACCTAGTAATACAGACTCAAAATATAGAAAGCAAAAATTGACAGCATTAAAAAAAGAAATAGACAAATCCACGATAATGATGTGATTTAAAAATATGCCACTCTCTCAAAGACTAACAGTTATATTAAGTAAAAACTGGAGAAAACACTGGGGTATTTGTTTTCATTTCTCAGATCATCCTTGAGCAAAATCCTCTCAGAATTTCCCTGTCATTTGGTTTTGTTCTTAAAATGTTCTTGGTTTTCTCAGTGACAACTGTCCTCTCATCAAATAAAGTAGATGATTCAGGTGGAGAGTTATTTCCAGTTTAGATTTTTTAAAAAACATGTGTGATCCATAAGCCTGTTTTAACCCTGTCCAAGGTGGTGGCTCCCCATTGTGATCGCCAGGTCTAAAACAGTGGAGAGCTCCCTGTCATGGTGGAAATGTCCTCCACCCGTGCAGTCTAGGACAGTGGCACCAGCCAGGGGAGCTGTCGATGTGGGTGGTGAAGCTGGGAAACTGAATCGTTTGATTTACTTTTAGTTGACTTAAAATTCAAATGGCCCCGTGTGTCTGGGGTGCTCTGGGGCAGAGGGCACGAGTCTAGAGTGTGCCAGGAAGGTTTTCTCTGTGAGGAGCCACGTGAAATCCAGGAGGACCTAGAGGTGGGGGTAGTTTTGGAGGACAGGCTGGAGCAGTGGTCTCACAGGGAGTGTGGGAGTCAGAGCTGGGTTCGAGTCCTGCCATGTCTAGCTCCTGGGTGAACCCGGAGCTTCTCTACCTCTGTGTGTCTCATCTGGAAAGAGAGGCCAATACCAGCGTCCACCACGCGGGGTCGCTGTGAGGAGCACCTGGCCTGAGTGCTGCCACCGTCCTCGGCCACCTACCTTGCTCTTTTCCCGCAGAGTCTTATAGATCATGCTCTGCTCCGAACAGTTCTTCCTCAGCTCCTCTCTCAGCATCTTCATTTCTTTCTCCATGTCTTGGATTTGCTGAAAGAGTTCCAACCACAGAGGGGTCAGCTCACCCTCTGGCTGAAGGTCCGAGCCCGGGGACCCTTTCCCTGGGCCCACCGAGGGGCCAAGSCTGCTGGGTTAGCTTGCTTCATCCCGTCTCTGGGTCAAAGTACCGCGTCTGCAGGCAAAGTGGGCTTTATTTTCAGTGAATATATTAAAAGAGATGCATGATGGTGCTGGGCTTGCGGCTCCGCGGCAGGGCGCTCGCCTAGCACCTCCGAGGCCCTGGGTTTGATCCTCAGCATCATAAAAAATTAAAAAATAAAATAAAGGAATCGTGTCCAACTACAACTAAAAATAAATGTTAAAACAAAGAGAAGATGCGTGAAGGAAAATAGTTTGTTTCTCTTGGCAGTTGGCAGAGATGTGGAGGGGGACAATAGAGACACCTGCCGACTCACTAGAATCCCGTCCCTGGGGCAGGGGTTCTAAATGTCTCCCTCGGTCCATTGTCGTTCTACACAATGGCGGGGCTCATCCTGACAAGTGCCTGGAATATAAATGGGGTCTGTTTTTGAGGTTGGTCCAAATAAAGGCCAACTGGAGGAACAGAACAATGGAAAATTTCTTTCCTTCTTTCTTTCTCTGTTTGAGGCAGAGCCGTGTCCCTGGCATGGAGAGGGGCAAGTGTCCTGTGTTCAGGTGCTGTGCTCGCCAGCAMGTGGGCTGGGGAGGCACCAGGGGGTGTGGGAGGTGCAGGGAACAGACATTTTAATAATGTTCTTTTTTACAGGTGCCTTCTATATAAGGCAAAGTGTGACTTTTTGTTTTGTTTTTATGAATTGGTATAAAATTGATGTATTTAATCAAAATACCTAAGGAAGGAGTCTGTGGCCCCAACACTGCCGTGAAGTCAGTGGCTGTCAGAGTGGGGATCGCAGGTTCAGGGCTGGGAACTGGAATGAACTTCCAGCGGCCGTGTGGGGCCACCTGGCTGGCCTCCTGTGCCCGCGCCTGCCCCCGCCCTCCCCAGGGCAAACCACGGGGAGGTAAAGCCAACTGCTCAGAGAATCCTGAGACAGTGTTTTCAGTGGTTTCCTTGCCCATCTCTTTGCTGGGCTGGAGCAGCTGACACACAGCCCTGGGCCCTGGGCTGTGATGGACCCAGGACTCCCCAGAACCCAAAGGTCCAAGTCTAGCCCTTCTGGGTGCACCCCCCGGGTGAGGAAGCTCGACTCACGCTTTTGCAGTGTTTTAACTCTCTCTCTTGGGCTTCTCTGTGCTCCTTCTGGGAACTTTCCTTTTTTAGCTCTTCATTCAGTGCCGAGCACTGTGGAGAAAGGGGACAGCAGAGGAGGAGGCCAGTCATGGGTGCAGAGGCGCACGCCTSACCTCCGAYGGCTCTGGAGGCTGAAGCAGGAGGATCACAAGTTTGAGGCCAGCCTCAGCCATTAGCAAGGCCCTGAGCAACTTATAGAGACCCTGACTTAAAATAAAAAAGGGCTGGGGATGTGGCTCCGTGGTTAAGCACCCCTGGGTTCAATCCCCAGAAAAGAAGAAAGAGGCCAGTTCTGGCCACRTGGGGTGCTTGCGGCTCCCAGGGCCCTTGTCTGCCCTGAAAGCCTGCGTTTCCTGCTATTCTAATCCAGTGCCTGAGGAAGAGTGGCTAAGCTCTTTTTAAAAAGCCAGAAATCCAAATCACAAGAAAAATCCAGCTTTGGGAAGCTGGGTTCAGAAATGCACGTGGATGCCCTGAGGGGCCACCGCTGGGCTGGMCGCTCTTAGCTGTGGCTTAGATGCGTCTCAGCGCTTGGTGGGGGCAGCATTTGGAAGCAGGCTGTGGAGCAGAAGGGAGCAGCGCCTTCTTTCTGACCCGGCCATTCTGCGTGAGGAGGGCACCGCAGGCGGGGCCTGGACCAATCAGCCAAACTGAAGGTGAAGGACGTCCTGCGCCATGTTCTCCGCATCAGTGGTGGAAGGAAGGAGGGAGGGAGGGAGGAAAGGAGGGAGGGAGGGAGGGAGGAAAGGAGGGAGGGTGCTCGTCCACAGAGTGTGCTCCCTGGAGAACCTTCCGGAGCTCTTAAGACCAGTGACAAAACGTGGAAAAACGGGAGGTGTTTCAAGTTCACAGACACATGCATGATGTGAATTCACTATAAAATTCAGGTAACTTAGAAACAAGACGGAGAGAAGATACACTAAAATATTAACATATCTTTTTACTATTATCTACTCCTTTTTTTCTAAAATGAACACACATGACACATGCAATTTTTTAAAAAAGACAAGCATCAAGATCCTAATGTCTTTTGTCACGAGGAGCCCGGTGCTAAGGGCAGGCTTGGGCTAGAGAGCTCTGAAAGGGGAGATGGGGACAAAGGCCACCCAGATGCCCTCAGGAGGCAGAAGAGCCCCGGGGGTCTGCCTCCCTGCGCCCTTCACCCTGATYCATCCCCCCAGTCCATCTGCTCGGGAAGAAGGGCTGCAGAGGGCTGGCGGGCCAGGCTCACAGCCTTGCTTCTCAGCTGCGTTTTGTCTCCCCCATTTCCCCATGAGGCAGCGGAGGCTGCGCCAGTTCTAATAAAGCAATCCCGGGTCGGAGCCTGGCCTGCTGCCAAGCCCCTGCTCTCCCGTCCCCAGCTCCAAGCTGGCTGCTGGACATGGCACTGAACAGAACCGGGCAGGTCTGGTCCCGCCTTGGCGCCCACGCAGAGGGGCCCATGGATCCTGCAGCCTGGGAATCTGCTGGCCACCCGAGGTGAGCGCTCCCAGGCTTCACCTTGGCTTTCCAAAGTCGACAAGAAACGCAGAGATCATACCCTCACGGACCTGGACCCTCCAGCCAGGGCTGTGGGCAAAATCCAGAGTCAAAATCACCCTCGAATGTTCTGACCTTGCCCCCGGATGGCTTCACCTGGAGGAATCCTCACCTGCATGGACGCCAAGGTGGAGGCGAGGCCCACGGGTGCCCTCTGCACACTGCGGGACGGGACGCTACTCTGCTTTGATCCTGCGCGTGTCAAATCCCAGATTTCCTCGCCATGGAACCACATGCTAATAGGTGCGCTCGTTTCAGGGTTAAGCCAACTAGTTTCTAAGGGGCTCTGGGGACGCGGCTGGATTAGAATTCCCGTCTGGCTCATGCTGAGCTACTTGCCCACGATTCTGTGGAAAGCTGCAGAGAACTCGGCCACCCCTTTTAGTCTTTGTTGGCGGAAAGGATTTTATGTCTGGGCGCAGCCCGTGGCCACCTCCTCATGTCCTTGGGCGCTGACCCAAACCCCCATGCAGAGAGAAGGCGGCGAAATTTAAAGCCAGGGCCCAGGCGAGAGCCAGCGTGTCCGGGACCCCGCCAGCGGCTCCGGCCGCCACTCACCCTGGAGTTCAGGGCTTCGAGCTGGTGCTCCTTCTCCTTGTTCTGACTCCTCAGCTGATTCACCTCCTCCTTCAGCTGTTGAACTTGCTCAGTCCTCACCAAGATGTCTTGCTGCAAAGATGTCACCATTCCTGTAGAAAAAGGTCAAACAAGCAGTAAGGACCGCGGCCACTGCCATCGCCGTTGGCCAAGCCGAGGACGACCCTGGCACTGGGCAGGAGTCGCCGCCAAGGACTCAGAAGCCGAAATGGGCTGAGATGGTGTCCACTGGGCATCACTGACGGTCTCGGGGGCAATCCGACAGCGTGGATGTCCCTGGGAGGCAGGAACCACGTGTGAGGGCCCTCGTGGGCATAGCCACACCCTGGGCCTGGGGTGCAGGGCCCAGGGGAGGGAGGGGCTGAGAGAAACCAGGAGACCCCCGGGGGTCAAAGGGTGCATCTTGGTGGCTGTGATGGGTGGGGGCACTCAGTCACTCTGGTCCGAAACCTGCCTCTACCACCTCCTGGCCCAGGGGTCCTGACTGGGCTACCTTGACCCCCAGGCAGCTGTCTGTAGGTTTGTCAGGGTGGAAGGAGATAATGGGGCTAAAGGACATGGCGGAGTGGCCGACAGTGCTGGTACCCAGTACCTGATGGTGGAGCGGCTGACAGTGCTTACCCGTGATCATTTGTAGCGGCAGCTTCCAAGGTGGCCAATGTTCCCTCCCTCCTAGGATTCACACCCTTGAGCTGCCCCTCCCAGCCCGAGTAAGGTGACATGGTGTGTAACCAATCTAGTGTCCTGCGAGTGGTGGGATGTGGCTTCTCGGGCTGTAAAAGGTGAGTGGCTTCCTCTTGCTGTCTCTTGGATCACTTGCTCTGCTGTGCCGACAGCCACATGGATCATTCTGGAAGGGGACCTTTGGCTGAGGAGACAGCAGCTCCTGCCCACGTTGAGACCACAGCCTCGTGAGACCCCAAGCCGGAGCTGCATCACCCCATTCCTGAGCCACGAGCCTGGATGAGGCAACACGGGTTATCTTGCCCACTCTTTTCTGGACTAACTCAGAACCCACACACTATTATGTCTCCACATTGAAGGGAAACGGGAGAAGCCTCGTGAGTGCGCTGGTGTTGGGTCGTCCCGGATGGCTCTTTTCTTGGAAGGACATTTGTCCCAGCTGTTAGCAGAGATCTTTCAAACAGGTCTCTGCAATGAGGAACGACGTGATCCAGAATTTCATTTTAAAAATGAGCTTTGTCGGGGGACCCAGGTAAGTGACTCAGAGACGGGCTGGTCCCTCAGGGCTTGCAGGTGGGACCGGGAGGCCTTTAGTCTGGACCTGATTTGGCCTCACGACGGAAACGGCCCCCTTTGAGTCTCTAGCGGATGCTCCGTGTATCCTGGACGTGGGGAAGGTGGACCGTTCTCAGGCCTCACAGCCACATGTCCATCAGGGCTGACTCCTGGGGACTTCAGGGGACCCTCTGCAGATCCAGGGCTCTCTCTGGGTGGCCTCCTTCCTGGCACTCTGCCAGCAAACTCCAGCTGTGCCGGCTTCTCCGACTCCGTCACTTCAGCTCAGGAGGCCCTGGCTCTGCCTGGGCTCCTCTCCTGGCTGTGGTCTGTCCCCACTYGAGGAGCAGGCTGGGCTCACCTTGCTTGTCCCCGTCTCTGTAGGATCACTGTCATCTGCTTCATGGGGTCTGAGCTGTATTTTCTGATGTGGGATKTTTTAAAAATTGTTTCAGGAAGGAGAGTRAATCTAGTYCCTGTCACTCCATCCTCCATCGGCCCTCTTATCATGGAAGGTGAGATTTGTGGTCTGCTGTGCTGGCCTCCATCCGCCTGGGTCCCTGAGTGGCTACCATTAATGAAGCCCCTACTCCACCAGGATGGGCCCAAGGCAGAAGTGGTCGATGAGTCTGCCTATTGTAAGCCACTGAGACCTGGGGACTGTTGTTACTGCAGCACAGCCTAGCCTAGCTCTTCTTACCCCAGAGTGCGCCTTTGAAATCCCTGGAAGACTGACCCACATAGGACAGACAGACAGAGGCAGGGCCCAGGATGCACCCATCAGGTGTCAGAGGACATTTCCCACGAGGGAGAGCCAGAGGCCTGGAGGAGGAACTGTGGAATGAGATGCAGGACAGGCCAGCCCGGGGCTCAGCCCTCAGGTCCACGGGAACAGGATTCATGTTTGGCTTGGGGTACAGCTAGGGATGTGTTTCCCGCTGTGTCCAGGGTCCTTTAAGGCCATTCCCTGCTTTCTCAYCCATGGATGAGATCACAAAAAGTTGCACCTGGGTCCCAAAACAGAGCTGGGAGCCATGGGGGAGTGGTACCAGGCATGTCCTCTACTGAATACGCGTGGCCCGGGCCCAGCCACACCGCTGCAGACCCTGGGCCGTCCTGCTCCTGCCCTCTCTGCCCTCCAGCACCACGTCGCCTCCTTTGCAGCCTGGCTCTCCCTGGAGTGGGCTSGTTAAGGTCTCGCTCTCCCCCAAATGTCAGCCCCGCAAGTACAGCGATCACAGCCGACGCCCAGCGCCAGAGCAGCACTGGCCCCGCAGGCGCTCAGCACATGTGTGGAATGAGCGAGCGGGTGGCTCCACTAAGCCGTGCTGCGCCCAGCAGAGAGGGCCGGGGACCCCGGGACACCCTGGTCCTTCCTGCCTCTGCTGTCAGTGAGCACAAAGTTTTCACTGTGCCCCAGGGCACAGGGCAGAAGGGTCCAGAGGCCCCGCCTTAAAGCCATGACCTCACCTCCTCCACTTTCTACTTTGCATTCACAAAACACAGGTTCGGGGGACAGTGGGACCSACGTGGTGTCCTGCGTTCTCCCTGCTGAGGCCAGGGCTCAGCGGGCCTTTGCCCGAGGGGTCACATTTGCTCAGACACTGACCGTGGGCTGCCAGAGCTGGCTGCTCCAGGAGCTGGCYGGCAAGAAGACCTCTCTGGGGACAAGCTGTGACTCTCAGCTGTGCAAGGGCTGGGGATGCCCCGCTGCCTGCAAGCTCCRCCTGGGCGGAGGGGGGCAGCTCTGACGGCAACTCCCAGGGGGCTCACCTGCCGTGATGCTGTGGTCCCTCTTTAAGTTCTCGCCCTCGTTCTTCAGGGATGTGATCTCGGAGTTCCGCTCGGACAGCGTCTTGCACAGCATCTGGCTGTAGCCYTTCTGAAGGACTTCGATCTGCGGAGGAGGCGCACGCACGTCAGAGGGCGCAGCCCAGGTCCCAGACCCTGGGGTTTCCTCCCCGAAGCTGGACGGGATTCCCGTCGCTCGGGGGCAGGGTGTCGGGGAAGCCAGGCATTTTAGCTTTGATGCGTGGAAGGGAGAGGGAGGCTGGCTCCTGCAGTGACCGCCACGTCATACGTGGCCAATACACGGTCTTGTCTCGGTGCCCACAAAGGGCTCAGGCCCAGCTGCCACGGGGGAGGGAGCCTCCTGAACACGGGTGCCCGTGCCCTCTGGGCTCTCAGCACAGGCTGCATGGGGGGGCTCCGGAGAGGGGGGTGGGTGATAAAGTCAGTTCCCTGCAGGGACAAGAAAGCAGGAGAGAGGATAGGAAAGAGGATCTTGGAGAATGGGATCCCCCCGCAGATCCTGAAGCTCCAGGCGAGAGTGTATTTTTATTTTATTTTGTCAGCCTGGCGTTTGGAAACCCCCATCGCCTGCGCGCACGGGGGACACCCCCACACTCTGCTGCACCCCCAGCTCCCTCCACTCTCTCTCATTGGCCAACCCCAGGGAGTCGTTCTGAACCCCAGCAATTCTTTTATTTTAAGGAATGAGTGCAGTCAAACTCAGGTTAACACATGAAACCATCCATGGCGGGAAGAACTACTCAGGTGCGCACCTTGATTGAGTCCGAGAAGGAGAACACTCCGGAGAGGCTTCTCAGTGGAAGCCCAGCTCCTGGAGACACGGGCGCCCTCAAGAACCCTCCTGTGCCCCGGGGCCCTCCCAGCTGCCTTCTAATAAGTCAGCTCCTGGAGTCCCACCTCTGTCACYCTGTCCCTTGGGCGTGTGGGACAAGAACCCCTCGGGGCTCACACGACCCCCTTACAGCCATGCAGGCTCCTCTCCGGGACACTGCCGAGCTCCGAGGCCCCTGGCACACACTGCACCTTGGGCAGAGCCTCCCGGAGGGTGCTGCGTCCTCTCTCCGTTTTCCAAGTGAGCAACGGGGACGTGAGGGGTGGGTYGCTTGCTGGGGTGCCCACAGCCCGACAGGGCGAGTTCTGGCTCAGAGCTGGTCTTCAGGTGTGGGCCCCAGGGCTTGCTGTCTTCTCCCTGCCCCYGGGACCCAGTGTTGAGGTCTGGGAGCCAGAACGCACAGCCAGGGCGGGGCCACCTTCTGTCCTGATGCGGCCACTTTCAGGGTGTGTGAACACCGGGTGGACRCCGAGTCCCGGCTCGTTGGCTCCTTCTGTACAGCTGCAGTGGTCCCGATCCCACGGGATTGTCAAAAGCATGGTGACAAGTGAGTACCTGTGAAYGTCCCCAGAGCTCGTGGGGGTTAGCTATGGTCACTCCACGGTGCGATGGCTTCAGCCTCTGGTCTGTCTTGAGGAAGGAAGGTGGATGGACAAGATTTTGCCTTTGTAAGCCTTGTCTAGACTCCCTTCAGCACCAGCGTGATTGCTGTGGAGGGGAAATGTAAGAATCCCTGATATTCACYTTGGGGTGTCAGGGCCTGGCTGACAGAGGGTCAGGGAGGCTCAGGGAACGCCKCGAGGGTGTGCCACGCCTGGCCACCAGATGGCGCTCACAGCCCTCGTTCCGGGCTTCTCCCTCCAAGCACGAGGTCATCGCTGGTGGCAGACTGGCAGTCTGACAGTTTATCTGGATCGTTTCTGCACCACGGTGGTTTAGATCTCCTGGGGAAGCTGCACTTTCTTTTTCTACGGGGCATCTCAGACACCGGAGAAGGGGTGTCTGCCAGAAGGGGGAGAATGAGCTACTCTATTCCCCACCATCCCCGGTGTACACGTTAGCACGTTTGTGCTTTGAAAATGTCAAATGAAAAAAAAAAATCCATCTTTCTGTTCTCTGTGAGGGAAATGCAACTGTCTCATTAAAGATACTTGGGATTTTAAAAGAGAAGTGCTTCTAGATCTCTAGATCTTCTGTGTGCAGGATACTGCAGGCACTATGCAGACAGGAGCTCACAGATAGATGGGGAAGGATGTCCCTTAAAGAGCTCAGTGCTGTCTGGCCCCTACGATATTTCAACCTAAGTAGCAGAGCTGTAGGATTGCAGGTTGCAGGGAAACTCCAAATAGTTTTCAAGCCTCTTTATTACTTTGATTACAAAATAAATATCCATATTGTCWCTAATTGGCAGAAATCCCAAGATGTTGATTGCCCATTATGCTGTGTAATGGAACGGCATCGGATTGTAGGAGAGCTCATGGTGCTGGGAAGAGCAGTTGCTTTGAGGTAACAACCCGCCTGATTATTCGCCCAGGTGGCTCCGACCRCGAGGCGGCATTGTCTAGGGGTATGTAGCAGCTACAAGGCCTTTGAGAGCAAATCACTGTGCACGTGCAATCGGGGGCTGGGGAGAATGTGTGAGTGATCAGAATAATAGATCATAATCACAATAATAGATCAAACTGCCACGTGGTTTATGCTTCTGGCTGAATGTTCTGCTGGCAATAGAATATTTAAGAGCTTAAAATGTGCATAGAAAAACTCGATTTGGATTCAAACCAACTACATTCTCTAGTTCAGAGATGCCTGCTATAAAATATTTTCTTGGATCTGAGTAAGGATCAGGGTGGAAGAAGAAGGCAAGAGTGTGATAAATCACAGTAATTATTTCTAGGTAATTTTTTGGTGAAAGAGATTCTTTTTTTTTTTTTTTTTTTAAACTCAGGGTCACTCGACCACTGAGCCACACCCCCAGGCCTATTTTGAATTTTATTCAGAGACAGGGTCTGAGTTGCTTAGTGCCTTGCTGTTGCTGAGGCTGGCTTAGAACTTTCGATCTTCCTGCCTCAGTCCCCTGAGCCGCTGGGATTATTTTATAGATATGACTGGTCACTTAAATAATGCTCCAAATGTAACCTGCTGATGGAGACTCAAAAATGGTGAGGATGAGTCACCCTGTCCATGTGCCTGGACAAGGCTTTGCTCAGGAAGCTGTGAAATGGGAGAATTACTGAAAGTATAGTTCTTCATCCAATTGTGGAAGTGGGCTCCGATCAAGAGAAAGAATCTCGTGGATGAAACAAGTGCATGTCAACGTAGCTATCTGAGGTGGCAGTTCCTACAGGACCTGCTATGTTCATTATTCTTTCAAACATAGGTCCAAAGGAGAGTCATTCATTTATTTAAATATTAGAGCATGTATTTGTTTACTTGTTTATTCTGTTTCCTTCATTGGAACACATGTTAGTCAGCTTTCTGGTATTGTAAGAAAATACTGGAGATAACAAACTTAAAAAGAAGAAAGGTTTAATTCTGCTCATAGGGTCAGAAATTCCGGTGCATGATCAGTTGGCCCTAGTTCCTTGGGCCTGTGGTGATGAGTCCCATACTATGGTGGGGACACGTGGAGCAAGCTGCTCACCTTAGAGTTGAGGTGAAGAAAGAAGAAGGGGCCAAGATCTCCACATCCCCTTCAGGGRTCCCCAGTGACCTAACCCTCCCACTAGGTCCCACCACCTCAGGTCRACCACTTCCCATAGCACCACAGGCGGGGGCCAGGCCTTCCACACAGGGGCCTCTGGGGACTTTGACTATCTAAACTGTCACAGAGCAGAGTGAGGGAAGGAGGAGGTCACGCGGGCCTTGTTCCTGCTGGACTCCCAGAGCCCAGCACAGGGCGGGGACTCTTGTCTAAATGAACAAATGGACAGTCCACACCTTGTCTGCAGGAGGCGCCGCCCACGACCCCAGGGAAGCCTGGAGCCTGTGTGGCCTGMGCCTGCGACCTATGACAAATGGCAATTAAAAGTCAGGAGCTCACCGTGAAGACTAACGGTGAAACAGACGCTCTGTGATGGCGCGCTCCTTCAAGTTATTCAAACTTAGGAAGAGTGTATTTCTGGAATTTTTCATTTAGCATTTTCCGCCCGTGGTTGACGCTGGGTCACCGACTCCGGGGTCGGTGGCTGTTGTCATTGTCATCTGGGGGTGATTGGGCCCAGTGCTGGGCCTTGAGGAGCTTCCCACCCAGTAAGAGGCCACTCCACCACGCCTGGCCGCGTCCTCCCAGCCCCACTCCAGGGCCAAGACGGAGGCCCTGCAGCTGGGTGGCGGGGAGGCCGGCGCAGGGAGCAGGGGGGCTGGCAGCCGGTGGCCGAGTTCTTTCTCATGAACGTTGTTGAGATACAATTTTTCTGCAAAATCGCTGGCCAATGTTTTTTAAAAGGGAAGTTGGATCAAGTGTGCAGAGAGAGGACGGGCCTGGGGATGCGGACAGTCCAGGCCGAGGGGGCCGTCGGCTGGACTTCCCCAAAAGAGGGCCAGTGGTGGCCTCAGGGCCTTTAGGCTGTGGTCAAAGGCCTCTGGCCTCTGGGTTTGGACGGCAGGCGGCTCTGCTCTCCCCCTTGGCYAACTGCCTGCAGGTCTTTTTGGCTGGGGCTGGATGGGTATGAGGGGCAGTCACCGCCACCTCCAACTTGCTGTGCAAGCTCTGGGCAGTTCCAGGGCATCTCTGGGCYRGCCTCAGTCTCCTCATCTGTATAGTGGATGTGTCAGAGGTTTAAATAAGTCATGYACCTAAGCCCTTGGTACTTGAGCTTGCCCACAGGTAGTGCTCAATAAGTGCTGTATCATCGTTACCACCCTGGGAAGCTGTGGGGCCTCTGCTCCCTGTGGATTTCAGCCCCTCACTCCAGGTAGCRCCGAGCACCACCCCCAGCTCCCTGGGCACTTCCTCTCCGCGGTGCTGCCTGGACTCCTTCCAGCCTGGGAACTGTCACCCTGCAGTGTGACTCTGACCCACGTGTCCCGAGACCCACCTGCTGCTTCAAGCTCTGGATCTCCTTCTGCTTGTCGTCCGCGCCCTCRTCCAGACACTTGTGCATGGCGCCCCTGTCGCCCTGCCTGCAGGCCACGCTGTCCAACAGCTTCTGGCTGAGCTCGGCCACCTCGTTCTGCAGGTTGGCGATCAMCGCGTCTTTGTATTTGGATTCGATCTCAAAATCCGCAAGGCGGCTGATCTCTCTCCCCAGCAGCAGGATGATCTCATCCTGCGGGAAGCAGATGGGAGCGGAGCCCATTGTAAAAACAAGAAGAAAAATTGGGTTCAATCCCCAGCACCTCAAAAAGGAGGAGGAGGAGGAGGAGGAGGAGGAGGAGGAGGAGGAGAAACAGGGCATCAGAAAGGAGGCAGGAAGGCGAGGGTGGGAGGTGGGCAGCGGGGCCTCTGGCACTTGGAAGCTTGGTAAAGTGACACACCTGTGTGCAGCGTCTCAGTGGATGCCACACCTCAAAGGTCCTGGGACCTCCTTCCTCTGAAACTAAACTTCCCTGTTGACAACAGCTGGACCACTGGGCAGCGTCTGGGCCAGAAAGTTCATTTATGGTTTTTGGAATTAACTCACCAGGTGTCTGTCTGGCACACGGGGACCTCAGAAAGGTGATTAGGAAAATGGCGTCTACTCAACTGTAAGGAGGGCTCATTCTCTTCTTTCTTCTTTTTCTTTTTCTTTTCTTTTCTTTCTTTCTTTCTTTTTTTTTTTTTTTTTTGGTACCAGGGATTGAACCCAGGGGCGCGTAACCCCTGAGCCACATCCCAGCCCTTTTTATCTTTTGTTCTGAGACAGGGTCTTGCAGAGTTGCTCACGGCCTCGGCCTCGCTAAGTTGCTGAGGTTGGCCTTGAACTTGTGATCCTCCTGCCTCAGCCTCAGGGATGACAGCATGGGCCCCCAGCCCAGCAGGAGGATTAGTTTTTAATTGAAAAAGTAAGACGTTCTGAGATCTTCCTTGCTCCTCGTCTCTCTCCCGTGCTCCCTGCCTCTTTTGTTTTTCCACAGGAAAATTTATTCCAAGTAGCTGAGTCAGGAAAGGGAACCAGGGGAACAGCGATCGCTTTGTGTGGATTTGGTGAATGTAGGAACGGGAGCAGATCGCTGGCAGGGTCACCCCAGGTGTGATCGAGCCTGTCTTCCGTTTCTCCCGAGGAGAAGGCACAGTGGCCAAAGAATTTGTTAGGTTTCCCAAAAAAGGGTAACACCCCCCCAAATCCCCCAAACTTCTCCCCAGAAGTCATCAGTAAAACGCTGGGAAGACTGAAAGGAAAGGCCGAAGCCCCCACCCAGACACAGCCTCACACGCAGCTGCAGGATTTCTGATGCGTCCCTTTAAAAGAGGCCCCTTTCCCTCCCGCCACCTCCCAGGAGGGAGCCCCTGGCCCCCAGCTCCCTGGTCTGGGAGGGCAGGCAGGTTGCCCGGCATGTTGACTGCTGCCAAGCCTCTTTCTCTGGGTCCCGGTGAGTGATGTGGCAAAGTTTCAGGGACAACAGATCCTGTGCTCCTGAGTCCCCTGCTGTACCTGAGTCTCCGTGCTCAGTAGGTACTTATTCATTATTCATGCAACAAAGGTTTATTGGGCACCTACTATGTGCCAAGCTCTGTGCTGAGCACCGGAGTATGAAGAAGCCTTCGGGGTGTGGTGGAAGCCTCTTTGGTGAGGACCTGAGCCCTGCCCTGAGGGAGCATCCCGCCCTGCCCGTGTGGTCTTGGCAGGAGTCGGTCGGTGCGCTGTGCTACCTGCCTCACCTCGGGAYGCTCCTGTGCCCCAGGCCGGTCCATTCAGGCTTTCTCAGGGATTCTGTATTGTTTACAACAGGAAGAGGGTCCTGCTTCCTTTGGGGTCCTCACCTGTACGTTTACAGGCCCGAGTGTGTCTACAGTCATCTTGTCCACTACAAAAAGCCACCTGCTAGAGGGAAGCCACCCTTCGAGGGACCCAGGGGACAGGTTGGTGACCGGGAGCCTCTGATGGCACTGTTCAAGCTGCTAGGCCTTGACTTTCCTATAGGATGAGCCAATCACCRCGGGCTGAGCCTCGTGTGTTTATTTCCACTTGCACTTGAAGAAATGGCGGAGAGCGTCAAAAGCTCTCAAATAAGGAAAATCAGAAATGGGTTTGCGTCATCTGCAGCTTAACAGCCACCGAGTTAAAAGTGTGACAAACATCCTGCGGCTTCGTCTTTACCTGTAGGCCATTTCCCCTGCCCCAGGGCTGGACCGGCTCTGTGACTTGCTTTGACCCACAGAACGCGGCAGACTGACCTCAGGGGCACCAGCCACCGGGCCACCAGCTGTTTTTATATTTCATTTAGAGACAGGGTCTCCCTAAGTTGCTTGGGGCCTCGCTGAGTTGCTGAGGCTGGCTTCGAACTGGCGATCCTCCTGACTCGGCCTCGCAAGCCACTGGGATGACAGGCGTGCGCCACCAGGCCCGGCGTCATCGAGCAATTTCCTAATCATCATCAGTCAGCTCTGTCCTGGCCTCTGTGGTCCCTGAGGCCACTGTGCTGGGAAGAAGCCCAGGGTGAGAAGTCACCGCAGGGAGAGGCTTGCCGCCCAGGCTCCTCAGTGAGGCCCCGGACCTGGGAACCCACCCTGGAGACCACAGCCCTGCCACCCCGCCAGTTAGTGGCAGCTGAGCAAGAGGCAAGAGGGGCCACCTGGGGGTCTGCCCTGGGGGCGTGGGAAATGGTCACTGCTGTCTGAAGCCACTCGGCTTGGGGCTGCTTGCCGCACAGCAGTGCATGAGTGGCAGGGTATCCTCGGCTGCTCTTCGTCCCCCTTGGCATCAGGACAGCTGCTCCAGGACCACCCTCCACCTGAAGCTGCAGGTCCCCGGGCCCGTCCTGTGGGCACAGGGACCCTGCTGGCTCTGTTTCCCACAGACTCAGACCTGCCGTAGGGCCAGGCCTCGACCTTTAAGGAAAGGAAGATGTCACCAGGCTGGGTTTTGTTTTTTGGTGCCAGGGATTGAACTCAGAGGCACTCGACCACTGAGCCACCTCCCCAGGCCTCCCCAGGGTCTCACTGAGTTGCTTGGGGCCTCGCTTTTGCTGAGGTTGGCTTTGAACTTGCGATCCTCCTGCCTCAGCCTCCTGAGCCTCTGGGAGGACAGGCGTGGGCCATGGTGCCCGGCTTGCCAGGCCGTTTCCTAACAGAGATTTCCAGGCTGTGGCCAAGTGGGAGAGACGACTTGGACCTGTCCCTCCCAGGTTCACTTAATAGCACCCATCTGACTCCTGCTGTGTCTCAGTCTCCAAACCTCTCTGTTCTGTAACAAGTCTCTCTTTGGCTCAGTTTTCTCTGACCTATGTATCACCTCCTCCTCGTAGGACCAGCTTAGAAGTTAGCCAGGCCTGGGTCTGAGTCCTAGTTCCGCCCCCTGAACTGTGCAAACTTGGRCAAGATACTCAACCTCTCTGAGCTTCAGTTTCCTCATCAGCCAAGTGAAGGCGTTAAAGTTTATTCTGAAGACAGCAAAGATCAAATGAACTAACAAATGTCGAGGACACAGGACACAATCTGGCACATAGTAGGTGCTCAACAAGCAGTGGATGTTGTCGTTATTTTGGGGGGGATATAACTTTTGGTTAAATAAGAGGCGGTTTTGTGACACCGGAGGAAAGGGCACTTCTAGACCACAGAGGACTAAGAGGTGGCAGCAAGTCCCCCTACGGTCCACTGGCTGCTGAAGCCCCGCCCTTCCCAGGACCCTCACCTTGTCCTGCTGGACCATGTCCGGATCCATGAAGATCTCCGGGGGAGGCACGGCTCCAGGAATGCCCTCCGGCATGGCGTGCTCCGGCATCTCCACGGGGCCCGTCCACACTGAGGCGTGAAGTGGACAGAGAGCACAGGAGACGTGGTGAGTTTCCCAAGCACCTGGGAATGCTTTCAGCCAGCTTCCCGTGGTGTCCCGGGACTTAGGTCCCTGTGACTTTAAGGTGACAAAGCAGGCTGTGTGCACCTGAGGAGCCATGGAATCCCTACAGGATTCGGGGAGTAGGGGACCCACCACTTCCTCTCTCCCGGGGCAAGGTCACCTTGAATTGTCTTTGTGCAGGCTGTTTTTTTTCCTATGCTGCATAAAGATCTGGTGGCCTAGGGCAGGTCCCTTGGTCTCTCTCTGCGTGAGTTTCCACATATCTAACGTAGGGCTATCGTGCCGGGTGTGTTGGCACACATCTGTGATCCAGCCACTCAGGAGGCTGAGGCAGGAGGACCGCAAGTTTGGTCCTTAGCAAGATGAAGAGGTAGACAGGAAGACCTAGCAAGACCCTGTCTCAAAATAAAATATAAGAAGGGCTGTGGCTGCGGCTCAGCAGTGAAGTGCCCCTGGGTTCAATCATTTAACCCTTAGTTATTGTGAGGATTAAGTGAAATGTAACACAGAACGGGGCTCAGCACGTTACAGCTCTGGGGCCAAAGGTGGCCCAATGCTTGGTTTTGAGAATAAAGGAGCACGGCCACAGTCAGTCCTTCATGTGTCACCTACAGCTGCCGTCCGTGCCATGGGGGAGAACTGAGTTGCAACACGACCTACAGGACCCTTGAAGCCTGGGACAGTTACTGTCGGTTCTCTCTGTTATCTGGCCTTCAGCCTGGTCCCTGGCACAGGGCTCCTAAATCTCTGGGACTCCCAAAGTGGGAAGKAGGTTGCCAGGGGAAACAGCCGTGTGACTCGAGGGTCCCAACTCTCAGCCCTGCCCCCCAGCCCCTGGGGAGGGGAGGGATGAGGCTCTTGCTCACTGATTGGCCACTGATTCCGTCAATCACGCTCATGCCGCCGCCTCCCTGGGACCCGCAAAGCAGGGTTTGGGGAGCTCCCAGGCTGTTGCGCACAGGCAGGTGCCTGCAGGGTGGGGTGACCAGAGAGGGCGTGGAGGCTCTGTGCCCCAGGGTCCCCGCGTCCCTTGTCCTGTGTACCTCTTCATCTGCCTGTTCCTTTGTACCCTTAAGTCTTTTCTCGTCACAAATTGGCAAAAGCGAGCGAGAGTCTTCCCTGAGTCCTGGGAGCCATCCTCTGTCAAGGGACCCAGTCTGAGAAGGGACAGCGGGAACAGCATCTGTGGTGGGTGTCCGTGGGGCTGAGCCCTGCAGGACAGACAGCGGCCAGGAAACGTGGGAACAGACTCACGTCTGGGACACGGGCTGGCGCTGGAGGGGTGCTTGGTCAGCGCATGTCACCGGAGGCCCAGGTGCTACAGCCCTGGTCCCAGCCTGTGGTGCCAGGGAGGGGGTGGGACCTTTGGCAGGTGGGGCCCAGGGGGAGGAAGCTGGGTTATTGGAGGCGTGTCCCTGGGGATACTGGACCCCAGCCCCTCCCTCTCCTTTACTTCCTGGCAGCCACGAGGTTGACAGTTTGCCTCACCGCATGCTCCTGCCATGATGTCCTGTGTGGCCACAGACCAAAGGTAACTGGGCCAGGCAACCATGGACTGAAACCTCTGATGGTGAACCAAAGTAAACCTTTCTTCTTTTTAAGTTGAYGATCTCAGGTATTTTGTCCCAGTCATGGAAAGCTGACGCACAGGGTGGGTACACTTCCCATATTTTGGTGACCAGAAGTGTTATGAGACTAAAGAGGAGTAGAAAACATTTGAGTTTTTTATTTTTTCCTCTCTACAGGGTCTTTAAAGAAAAGTTTGCCTACCCCTACGTGAAGCCTTTAGCAGTAAATGTTATTTTTATAATTTCATATTTTAAAAAGCATAATTAGATTTTCATGTAGAGATTCTTCTCCAGCACGCTTTTGCACAGGAGAGGAGAAAGACCTCTTCTCCAATGTATTTGTAGTAGCACCATATTCTTTTCGTTGGTAACAGTGTCCATGGCACAAATGTATCAAAACATATTTAACTAGGACCCACCTGCTAGACTTTTAGGTATTCCTGACTTTTTTCTTATTTAACCCTAATTTTAAAGTTTAACCCTAATTTTTCTTATTTAACCCTACGAGCTGTTTATATGACTTTCAGGGGTTCCGACAGTTACATTTGGAATCTTTATGGTGTATAGATTATGTCAAATATATTCTAATTCATTGACATGAACAGTGTTAGATTTTTGTGACAAAAGAYCTGAGAAAAACAACTTGAAGAAGGAAAAATTCATCTTGGCTCAGAGTTTCAGAGGTTTCYGTCTATGGTAGGTGGACGCCATTCCTCAGGGTCTGTGGTGAGGGGGGCCGTCAGGGAATTAGAGAGGGGGCAGAAGGGGCAGGGGTCAAAAATACCCTCAGGGCCACCCCGAGTGACCAACGTCCTTCAACTAGGCCCTGCCTCCTGAAGCTGCCCCTCCGCGGAATGCACCAGGCTGTGATCCCCTCCGGAGGTTGATCGGTCAGTGAGGTCAGCCCCGACCCAGGCACTTCCCGAGCCCTGCCTGTGATCACCACTGCTCTGGGGACCAAGCCTTCAGCACGCGACCTGGGGACTTTCCAGGTCCAGCCCCACCAACAGGGAATAAAGACTTGGGGGTGGGTGGGAATTTTTGAGAGGATTTCCACAATTCTGCTTTTGAGGTGACTGGGCTCTGGATTTCCCACGGACTCTGGGCCATCGTCCCTCACACCTTCTCTTGTTGAAAGGGAGGAAGGGAACTAACTGTTTTCAAAGGCAGGAGACTCGTCAGAAGGGGGCACAGCCGCGATTGGTGACATCTGCACTGTGACCTAGGGGCTGTTCATTCATTCTGGTTCTGCATTTTTAAAGTCCCTTAGAGCAGRTGGTTCCCCCCTAGATCTTTGTGAAACGAGATGGACACGATACCTTTATTTTATTTTTACGTGGTGCTGAGGATCGAACCGGTGCCTTACTTGTGTACGACGCGCGCACAGAGGTCAAACCCCAGGGCCTGAGGGGAAAGGTGCTCAGGAGTACTGTCCGGGAGCCAAAGCACAGTGCTCCATGCCTACGGGGTCTCCCCATTCCTTGTGGTTTTCCTCTTCAAGGTTTTAGTTAGAAAATATTAMATGGAAAATTCCAGAAATACACAATTCACAAGTTTTAARTTGAGCACCATTCTGAGTAGCATGTCTTGCACTGTCCGGCTCCATCCTGCCCAGGACATGAACCATCCCCCGGTCCAGCATATCTGTGGAGTATATGCTACCCCCCGCCATTAGTCACTTAGTAGCTGGCTTGGTTGACAGATCAACTGTCACAGAATTGCAATGCTCGTGTTCAAGACACCCTCAATGTAGATTTTAGTGGCCCCAAAGCTCAAGACAATGCAAAGCGGGCTCCAGGCATTAAACATGGAAGGACAGATGAACTCTGACACCATGTGACAGCCACTGCTGGGTGCAGGAGTGTTCATAGGTTCAGTCCAACCCAGGTTTTGGGAGGGTCCTGGAGCCAAATCCCCTGTGGCAAGGGTCAGGGGAGCTGTCGCCATCCCAAGAACTTTCCAAAGGTCAACTCTGGCACTTACTGCCATTGGCTGCATTTCAGAAATGAGAAACCAGGGTGCACACAGCCTGTGCTGTCACAATCCAGGAGGGGGAATGTCAGGATCTGAAGCCACATGGGCACACACCAACACAGAAGTATGTCCCCTCCAGGGTGCGGAATGCACCAAGGAGCRAGCAGGTGAGTGAACTAGGACCCAGTTCACCCTCCCAGACCTGTCCCAAGAGAGTGCTGACCCGTGCCTGGCTGGGGACAGTTCCGCCCTCCTGCTGAAAGCCAAGGGTTGGACGGACGGAGTCTTGTGGAACTGTAAGATCTCCTGGACGGACCAGTTAAGATAGCAGACTGGCTCTGCCAGGACGGGGGTCTCTGTGACATGAGATTTCAGTGCTCAGGCCTGGAAAGTCCAGGGAAATCTGGGACAAGTTGGGCAATTCAGAAAAAGGGAAGAGGAAGCGCCCCCACCCACGCACCCCTCCCGCTGGATTTCCTGCCACCACRGGGAGGCGGGACCCAGGAAGATCCTCTGACGCACCCCTGGGGCATCAGATGACCTGTCTCACAACTCAGAGGTCAGGAGAGCAAGTGTCCCCTGAGAACACAAATGCCACATTTCTCCAGCATCGTGCACCGAGGGGAGCAGGCCTCGGCCCGGGCACGAGGAACCAAGGTGGTGGCACCCTCTTTCTATCCTTCCACTCTTCCCTGACCCTCTTCCTCCCTGTGTCTGGAAGCCAGGTGTCAGGAAATAGTCACTTACTCGCAGTAGTCACGTTCAAAAGGTAAAGCGAAAAGGTGAAGTCAGTTTTAATAACACATTTTATCTAACCCAATATATCAAAAACACCGTCGCAACATGTATGTTTATCTGCACCAAAAATATTGAGAGATTCTACATTCTTGTTTTTTTTTTTTTTAATGGTATGAAGTCTTTGGTGTCCAGGGTTGCTTTGCCTGTCCAGTACATCCCAATTTGGAAGATAAGTTTTCATCAGAAAGACCTGATCTATGTTTAGATTTCACAGACACGTCCGCTTGAATAAAGGAGATCCACACACGCAAGTTGTTCCAAACACAGGAGACGTTCCCAGGCTGAAATCGAGCAGCGGGGTTTAAATTTGTTAAAATCAGATGTCCTTTGGTCAGTCACTTACTCACACATTTCAGATGCTCACAAGCTGCCTGTGGCGTGGAAGGAGAGGGCACGGGGTGACACCCCGCTGCTCCCTCTGTCTCCGCCTGACATTTCCTTCCCGGCAGAGTCTGCAGCCAGAGCCCACCCAGGGGATCAGGGAGAAGCAAGACTAAGAACAAGCCTCAAGGCCCAGCCTTGACCCTGACAGGTGGGCCTGGACACTGCTGCGTGAAGTCTGCTTGTCTTCCACCTGGGGCAGTCAGTTGCCTCGGGCAGGCGTCCCCACTAGGGGGTGGTCGGCTGTGTCTCGTCTGAAAGGCACCCACCGCCCAGGACCTTTCCAATTGCTGCCTGACGACAAGAAATGGGCTTCTGTGGAAAGAGTGGCCCGCAAGCGGCCGGGATGACTGTAAGAAGGGGTGCCCCCGGCCAGATGGAGGCAGGAGCTGTCCGGGGACCTCTGGAGTCAGGCCCCCCCCACCCAGGTGGATGGCCAGGCCAGGAGCCCCAGGGCTGGTCCTCACGGGCTCTGAGTCCAGTCCCAGTTCACATCTCCAGGGGAGACTCCAGATGCTTCTGCAGCTCTGTTGGGGCTACTGCGAGTCACCCCTGATTGCAGGGTGGTGGTGAGCCCCTGGAGACCCAGAAGCTGGACTTCATCAACCCTCCAGGCCGCGTGACCATGTGGGTCTCTGCTGTTGCATCCGGAAAGTCCACTGGGCAGCTGGACCAGAGGCTCAGTTTCTTTTCCTCCAGGAGGGGGCGCCAGCCAGGCTACCTCCCCCGAACCCCACTCTTCATTGGCCACTGTTGGGCATCAGAAAGAACCCGGCTGGGCCGAGGTGGGTGCTGTCCACCCAGAGCCAGCCGGAGGACTGGAGCATGGAGTTGGCCCGGAAGCTTGGAGCAGAGAGGCCAATCTGAAGCAGGTGGCTCCCCAGCCCACAGGAAGGTGACAGCCCTTCTCTGCATCAGGGAAATGAGGTGGCAGTTGGGAACAGACACCGTGGTGCCCCTGCCCCCACCCAGTGACACCCTGGGGAGCTGTGGGGTGAAGCCTGATGGGCCTGGGGTCCTGGAAGCCCCGACTGCTCTCCCTCCCCAGGTGGTGGAAGGCCGCTGGAGAAGGCCAAGTTCAACGTCACTGAACCTCCAGATGGTGCCGCTCGAGACCCGAGACGGGCGAATCTCAGAGACACTGGGCTGAACCAGAGACGCCTTCCACAGAAGAACCCGGACCGCAGCTCAGTGGATCTGAGGCCCCCGATTAGGGCTCTGTCCCTGGTAGAGGGGACAGGGGAGTGGCGACCTCCAGGGTGGGGCTGGGGAGGGACTGAGGGGACTTTCCAGGGCGAGGTCATGTCCTGCGTCTTGATGGGAGTTTGAGCTACATAGTTGTGAACGACAGTCAGTTGTGGTCACTCGCGGTCCGCATTTCCTTGCTTGGTGGCCACTCTCAAGGCAGTCCCCTCTCTTCTTGTCCCTGCTGTCCCCCGGGGACCTGTTCTTGGTTTGGGTGTGAGGTGTCTCCCGAAGCTCCTGTTCATCAGGAAGGTCCAGGGTGCAGAGGCTGGGTCTGAGAGCCGTACCTCGGCCGTCCATCCTAGTCAGCGTGGACTGACCGGTGGGGTCCGTAGGCAGGTGGGGCATGGCCGGAGGAGGGAGTCGCTGGGGTGTGCCCAGGGAGGCTTGTCCTTCCTGCAGCGCCCACCCTGGCCCTGGACCAGGAGCTGAGCATCTCCCCTCTGCTGGCCCCCCATGCTGTGCGGCTTCACTTGGGCCCAGAGCCATGGACTCATGGAGTCACTTCTGTCAGGGGCTTTGGTCACAGCGACGCAAAGTCAGCAAAAACTGCGCCCTGGCGGGGTCCTCACAGAACTGCTGGAGCCACCTCGGTCCACAGGTCTCTCTCAGGAGCTCACCCTGACAGCCCATTTTAACGGAAAGTCACCACCTGCGCGTGTGAGCGAGTCCTGTGGTCCCGGGCCAGCGCCTCCACGTGTGGAGTGTGAGGAGCGCCACTCGGCCCCCAACACAGCCGTCCCTGTCACCTGAGGTGCTCCTGAGGCTGCCTGGGAAGAGGCTCTGCTGCTGGACCATGCCCTGGGGGAAGCCGGCCACCATTGTGAAGAGACTCCAGCAGCCCCTGGGAGGTCCCTGAGGAAGGTCCCGAGGAGAGGTCCCGGTGGAAGGTCCCCGAGGAGAGGTCCCCGAGGAGAGGTCCCGAGGAGAGGTCCCCGCGGAGAACTGGGGCCTCCTGCCAAAAGCCGCGTGAGGGGCACCGCTCCCTGGCTAAATGACCCCCAAATTCCGGACCCTCCGAAACTGAGCAGTGCACGGGGCTTTATTTGTCTGCTTTAGGCTGCTGAGTGTCAGGATGATCTGTTAGACAACCGTCGATAAGTAATGGACACTGTGCTAACTTCACATCCAAAGACAAAGCTGACAGAAGGCTCGCCAGGATGCCGGGGGGAGGCCGGAGGTGCGCAGTTTGTTTTAAAGTGTAATAAGACGGGTCAGTGAATGGACAGAAGGGTGGACACGCACGAAATACACGGGGTGGCCAGAGTCAAGGGCGGCGGGGGGGAGGGTCTCTGTAAACTTCTTTTTACTTTGTTGTCGTCTGGACATTTTTCTTCTCACAGTGTGGGGGGAACGGCTGCTACTTTCTTAGCCAGGGCGGCAGGAACGCGGGGGCTTCATGATGATGAAGCCGCAGAAACCGTTTCACCTCCTCTGGAACATTCCACAAGGGTAATGGCTCCATCCATGGTGGAGGAAGGGGACTGGGAGGGTCCTGAGCAAGACCAGGGGGGGAGGCGGAGCCTCCTGGAGGGGTCTGTGGCTGGGCCAGAGGGGACAGAGAGGGGACCTGGACTCCAGGGGCTGTTCAGTGGACAGTGACAGACAGCAGTCTCCTCCCCAGATGCCCAGCCTCAGGGGCTGGGTGAGGGGAGGAAGCCCTGAGGCTGCGCGTGTCCCAAGTCCCCAGGCCCTGAGAGGCCTTCAGTGTCATGAAAAGCACTGAGCTCACTGGACTTTCTGGAAAAGTCATTTTCCCTCAGTAAACTCAGCCTCTTCTCTGATAAATGGTGGATTTCTGCCAGCTCCGGGGGCTGCTGTGGGCAGGGGGACCTCAGGCCAGTGTTTCTGCTCATCTGCATTAAAGGGTGTCATTTCAGATTCTGTGACATACACACAGACGCACACGCAGCACGGGGCCTGCCGTGCGGACGGGGGCTTGGGCACAGTCCAGGGACACCTGGCAGCACATCAGCAGAGACGTCCCTTTATCTGTCCCCTTACTTTGTTTATCTTGATTTAAAAAAAATAATGACACGCTCTATTTTTAGAATCAGAGAAAATAAGCCAAAGACACCAGACACATCCTCACGGCCACACCTCCGCCCGGGTCCTCCTGGAGGCCCGCTGCCTACCTTGCTTGAGGAGGGGGGACTTGTGGCTGCTGTCCACCACGAAGGAGAACATCTTTCCGCTGGCGCTCACGGGCCGTTGGTGGGCGGGGGGGACTACGGAGGGCCTGGGGAAGCCCTGGGACCAGCTCCTCTGCAGGGGCACTGGCCGGATGCCCTGGTAGAAAACGTTGAGCGGTGGCGACGGCGACGGGATCGGCTGCTGGGAGATCCGAGACGGCTGTGGCCTCGGCCAGGCTGCTGGGCCCCTCACCCAGGGGAAGGAGACCTGTGGGCAGACAGGGGCGTCAGGGCAGCTGTGATCCGCTGCCCCGGGCCTGGGCTGGTGAGTCACGTCCCTCGGGAAGCCTCCTGGACCCTCCTCGGGGTGATGGCCGCATGGTGGGCCACAGGGCACGCCCCCCACACGCGGGGGTGTTCATTACGTCAGGACCCTGCCGAGAGGGCACCTGCAGGATGGCCCCGAGGTTGGGCCAGGCCAGGTGGGTCAGTGTGGGACTGAGCTGCTGAGCTGGTGGCCTGTCCCCTCTGCAGGGCAGGGGCCTTCTGTCTAGCTGGCTCACCACGGTATTCCCAGCACCTACAACGGACACCAGCCTGCGAGGCGACCAGGCCGCGGAGGCCCAAGCCCAGCTCCTGGCCTCCACCTCTGTTTTCTTTCCAGCTGTGCTGGGGTCCCGGCTGTCCCCTGAAGCCAAGAGCCCAGGATGGCGGAGACCCTGGCTGGCCGTTAGCCTCCGTCCCTGACGTCCAACATACCTGACTCTGCCGGAGGCTCCAACGTGTCTATCCCGGGAGCCTCTGGTGGGTGGGCCTGGGGGAGGCCGGATGGGGGGCGCACGTCAGAACCCGGCCACCCAGGAGAGGAACCGGGAGAGGCTCTGACACGGCTCTGCCCTGGCTTCAGCTGTGCGAGGATTCTCTCCTGTGCCTCGTGGTGAAACAGGGACATGGGGGAGTGTGGTCCCTCACTGCAGGGGCCCCCTGCTCCTTCCTATGAGGCCAAGGCTTCACCAGGCCCAGGCAGGGGTGGAGGGCCCCGGGTGCGAGCCCGGAGGCCTGTCCCTCTCCCACTTTCTCCAGCTCCCTCCTCCTCCCTGTCTAGTCTAGAGATTGCTGGTTTAGGAGGAGGACTCTGCTTCTGGGCTGGGGTCTTGGGGGGGGCCTCAAAGGCCAGCTGACTCCAAGTGGCCACAGGTCCCTCTTCCCTCCTGGACAGGCAGAGGCCACTCAGCCTCCCGGGGAGGTTCTGGGCCACCTCCTTTCTTCCCAGCCATGGTTGAGACATTTCCTGGCCAGAGGGATTGGTTCGGGGGTGGAGCATGTGATCCAATTAGAGCCCAGGACCCCCAGGGGACCCAGGCTGGACCCCAGGTTTTTAATTGTGAAAACCGCATAGCATAGTTTTTACCATTTTGAACAGTTAACTGTAGAGTTGAGTAGTGATAAGTACATTCAAACTGTTGTGAGCAGCATCTCCAGAATTCTTCCCTCTTACCAAAGTGAAACTCTCTTCCCATCCATACCTCCAACCCCTCTCCAGCCCCCTGCAACTGCCTTTCTCTCTTCGGTCCCATCAATAGGCATCTGGCTACTCTCGGTACCTCACAGAACTGGGCTCAGACAGTAGTTATCTTCTTGTGACTGGCTTATTCTCTTAGCATCACGTCCTCAACGGTTATCCCTGCTGTAGCAGGTGTGGAATCTCTTTCCTTTTCCAGGCTGAATACTATTCCGGTGAACGGCCAGACTACATTTTGCCTATTCATGTTCAAGTGATGGTCACTTGAGCTGCTTGTAATTTTGGCTGCTGTGAACAGGGCTGAGCAAATGCAGAAACTGGTTGTGAGCCCTCTCTGGGGTCTGACCCTGAACTGCTGAGTATGAGAGGCTGGTTGGAGTGGGTCTTGCTTTAGAGGGAGAGGCAGGTATATAAGTGCAGTAATGACTGCAACAGACTCTTTAGGTGTAACATTAAAAAATAGTGTTTTTCCCCCTGAAGTTCATTGATTTAGGGTGGCCTCGGCTGGAAGGCGGAGGATGGTCTCTGCTGAGCAGCTCAGGTCCATCAGGCAAGGTCAAGGTTTTAGCTGCTAGGAACTGCAAGGAGACGGGCAGCAGAAAAAACCCAAGGAAAGACCAATGAAGAGGAAGCTCCTGGCCATGCTCACATAGAGTCTGCAGGGACCCTGGGGCCAAAGTCATGGAGCCTGGGGCCAAGGTCATGGAGCCTGGGGTCAAGGTCATGGAGCCTGGGGTCAAGGTCAGTTGCCAACAAGGCTGGATTTAGAAACTTTACATTAAAAATACGTGTTAATGCATCCCTCCCCGCCCCTTCCTCCCAGTCTGGATTAGTTCTGGGTCTGAGGCAGCTCACAGTGGTCCTGAGCTCTTCCATTGTCTGCCCCAGCAGGGCCGCGCCCACCCCGCGATGCTCAAGAAGCCGCACCCGTTTCCCCCACTGTGTACCCTTCCCCACTTCACTACACAGGACCCAGGCCTTCCGCCAGGAGGCCGAGGCTGTGGACCAGGGAGGGCGGCCTGTCCTCCAGCGCCTGTCATGTTCCCCGCTGTTTGCAACCACTGCCGCGGGGACAGCGACGGCCCCACAGAGGGGCACCTGTGTGCGGGGACRGCGGCGCCCTAACACGCGAGGTCTCGTCAGAGTGACCCTGGGGTGCCAGAGGCTTTGCACCCCACTGGGGGCCGAGGGTTGGCGACTCCCGGAGGCACCGCAGCCAGGAGGCGGGGCCTGCTGACCCCAGCCCTGCTCTAAGAGCATCGGGGTTATCTGGAGTCACGTGGGCACCTGCGGCCACACTGCAGAAGGCTCTTGGGTGGCTGGTAAGGAGAGCCGACGTTCCAAGTTAAAAAACAATGAAAGTGTCCAGTAGACGGAGGGAAAACCCGCAGCCAGCGCCTGACAGGTTCCCAGGAGGCGGGCGGCTCCCTCGGGTGCTCCTCCAGGTCCAGGCAGCCTTCTGTGAGGACAGAGGCCTCCACCCAGCCCGTGACAGTGTCCCGGCTGGGCCCAGCTCTCCCTGCCTCACCAGAGCCACCGTGCGGCGTTCAGAACGTCGGGGCTGGTTGACAAACCCGGCTATGAATGAAAAGTCATGTATGTTGCAATTACAGGACAGTGACAAACAGGTGGCACCCGGCCCTCCTCATCATTCTGCCATGCTCCTGATCACCCACGCCCTCGACTTTGCCTTCAACGTTGAAAACGTGACACAACCAGGCTCACTTCCTGCCCCGGGGGTGACTGGCCACCGCGGGAGGCTCACACCTTACAAGCCAGGCAGAGTCACAAATCGGGGCTTGATCACTTGCACCAAAGAAGGGGGCGGGGAAGACGGGAAGACAGAGAAACATGTCGCAGCCCAACACCAAGGCCGACACCGAAGCTCCTCATCTGACGCAGCAGAGTCTCTCCTGTCCCCAAGGGACACATGAGGCCCCAACCCGCCCCTTCTCGGTTCACTTTTGTCTCCCTCATAAGCGTGAGCAAACCTACCCCCACCACTAAGGCTTTCAGTGGTCACCCTGTGCTGGCAATGGTTCAGCAGAGACCAAGAGAAAAGTCCTGCGAGAACCGCCGGCTGCGTGGAGTCCCMAGAGAGTGGCGTGAGGTAGGACTGTAAAGAGCGCGCTGTGCGGCATCTAGAGCAGCGAACTTTTATCAGAGATTCTATAGTTTCCACCTTTTTTATGGGTGCATTATAGTTGTGCGTGTCGAGGGGATCTGTTGTCGCGTATTCATACTATAGAACAGAGAGTGGCCAACTTCACTCCAGCCCTCCCCGCCCACCCCTTGGTGGCATTCCTCTGCTGGTCCCCCTTGATTTTCATGACCCACCCCACCTTCCTTTTCCCTTTTCCTCTCTAGCTTCCCCATAGGCAGGGAAACATGACCCTTGCCCTGCTGAGCTCGACTTAGAAATGCATGGTTTCATTTTCCTTATGGACGATACAGCTCCACGGTGGGGGTGGGTATGGTGYGCCACTGGGATGCTGCTTGAGTGGCCTGGAACTGAGCCGGGGGTGGAGGGGACTCAGTTCTCCCCTTGGGGACGATCCCGGCATTCCCGTGTGTAGACTGCCCAAGGCGTGGGGTCTCTGCCCTCTCTACCCACTGGACAGCTCTCCTGGCGTCAGAGTTGGGCGTGACCCGCTGGGACGGTGAGCCCAACCCCTGCCATCCATGGAAAGCCCCTGAAGTCCCCGTGTGGGGACGAGCCAAGCCCGGCTCTGGCTCCCCTCCTTCCAGTGTGGAGGCCGTCCCGCCCTCCCTTTTCAAAATTATTTTCTGTGTCGTGTGGTTTTCTTGCCGCCTTTTTTCTTAGCTGAACGTCACAGCCAGCCCACTCCATGCACAGGAACCCCAAACTCCATTGCCCACGCAGGACCTGAGCGGGAATGTACCACGTTCTTGGCCCGTTTGTCGGCTGATGGAGACCGGGACTGGCTCATGGTTTGGCTGCTGTGAACGTGGGCTGCAGGGATCACTGTGCTACGTGGCTTCGGTTCCTGTGGATAAACACCGAGGAGCCGCGTGGCTGGGTGGCGTGTGGCCCCTGGCCAGCCTTTGGGGAACCTCCACACTCGTGTCCGCGGTGGCTGTGCTGACTCACGGTCCCCACCGAGCAGCAGACCTTTGCTCTTCACGACACCTCACTTTTCAGAGAGCTGTGGGTTACACCTTTACCAGCAGATGGCTGAGCACCCAGCTCTGTTCCTGCTACACACTACAGGTGTTTGCTGACCCAACTGGACCAGCCATGGGCAGAGTGTAAGTGAAACGTCCTTCAGCTGGTTCTGGGCGAGAGCAGGGGAGATACACCATGATGCAGAAATTAAGGAAATGCTAAAGTACAAAAAAGGTGGGCAGACGACAGTGACCCCAGGCCCACCCACCACGCATGGCAGAGAGTGATCACAGCTCACCACGTGGAGGAGAGCTACCGTGCTGCGGCCCCCTCTACCAACCCGTGGGGTGGCTTTCCCCACCACCTTCCATCGAGTGACTACAGCCAGGACCTACAAGACCATCTTCCAGGTGCCTGCAGGCAAGGTATCGGTGACCTGCAGGSACACTACAAGATTATACGGTAGAAACTGTAATACCTCGAATCCACACTGTGAGACAGGAAGACACACGGACGACATGAAGAAACGGGAAGAAAGTGCCTGAAACAAGCCACGCTGATACAACGGTAGATCCACTGACAGCACAGAGCTGGAATGTCRGGGAAGGAGAGCAGAAGG